CTTTATTCCCTAATATCTGCTTTCTTTACAAAGTTGCATGTTTCATCATTTACTCAGCGAGAATGAATCTTACTCAAATGTTGATAGGTAGTGGCTAGTGATTAGTAAAATAGTATTTATTATTCCTATTTAATTAAATGATCGTTTTATGTTAACGCTTTCTGCTCGTCTGGTGTCATGGTATATTCTTATAGTTTTTTTTACTTGTTCGTTAATTTAGATTATAAAACCTAATTTAGTTTTACGTACCGTATTATTGACGATTAATATTGTACCATGTCAGTATTGTCGTTATATTTTCTGAACACAAGGTATCAAAGTAAAGAATTTATGTCTATGTACTATTTAATTGCATTCGCGGATTTCATAAAAAAAATCTTTTATGTGCTGTAATACAAAAAAAAATCATAAAATTTCAGTTGACTTCATTGATTTATGTATCAACATATCAATCTAGAAATGCTCGCTTGGTGTGGTTGTGTGTCTTCTCGATAATTTATTTTGCGTGGCTTATTTTGCGGGGCATGCACCCAGCGAAATGAGTGAGGCTTTGTCCAAATAGCGATGCACTTTAGCGTGGGTCACCTTGACCACACTTATCACTGCAAAAGGGCGTCGTATCAGTGCTACGTACTCTCTCTGCTCATGCTGTAGCTAGGAAACCGTTTCACTATTTGGACAATCGGACCCATAAATTTTTCTGGGTATACTAGGGGTGAGTGAAGGCGATTATTGTTGGCACCCACAATCAGAAAAATGTATGGGTCATATTGTTCAAATAGTGACACCTCCTACACAGAGAGTGTGCGTGCATCACTATTTGGACCAAGTCTCACTTATTTCTGGACGTAAAGTTATTTGTTTGCCTAAGTTGCGTTGTGTGTAGATTTTAGGCTCTGTCCTAAACGTTCGGTAATGAAACAAGAAATTAGTGCAATGCACTTCTGTTCGCTATGCATTTACGCACATGCAGTACGTATATTTACGTACAGTACCTACGTATATTTACGTACAGTACGTATATTTACGTACAGTACGGATTTGAAACTGGAGCATGTAATTTCTCCATCAATAACTGGTCGTATATGAGGAATAAGCTCGTCTTCCACCCACGTAACTCAATGTGCTTTGTTAGCATAAGTCTTCGGCATGTAAACTGAATCATACGTGAAATATGGGATGAATTAAAAAAAGTACACATTTTGAAATAACATTCATCCACGTTATTATGAAACTCGCTTTGTCATTACTAACTCGATACAATCTTGCCAAGCTCATCCGTTATCTCGATGTTGAAGCCGACACATTCGAGAGCTCAAGGTTCTGATCTCGGGAATATATTTCCAACCGTGAGATTTTTTGTAAAAATGTCAACAAAACGTGAATTTCTTTGCTGTCCGAGTTATGAAAAAATTCAGTTAGCCGAGGAGTTTCGGTTGATTTTATATTTTGTGTCGGCTGTAATAAGATTAAATAATTTTCTTATTTGTTGAAACGCTTGCATGATGGCTATTCTGCTGAAAGGTTTTACCGAGCCAATGTGAGTTTCGAAGAATGAATGTTCAAGTATTCTATTGCGTTACGTATAGTCTATGTTCCTAGGTAGATTGTTAAGATGCCCGTTTCTTGCCGTTATTATATAGGCTTTTTATACTCGTATGGAATATTACAGCTATCTTGAATATCCGTATTTGTAAACGTTTGTAAAATGCATTTAATATATTCATGAAAAACTCAGTTTCTCTGATATGCTTTCGTATCAGCATTGATTTGGCCACTACTTTGAAAAAAATCGTTTATAGTTGCACGAGCTTTATTTTTACGAAAGTCAAATCAGTTTTTAAGATCATTACCCTGCCAATAAACCCAGATGAACCACTTCAGTAAATCAAAACAAAATTAATATTCTTCAAACTAAAGTTAATATTCTTTTACAAATGTATGTTGAAATTATTAACATTTGCATCAGTGCGTTTCAAGTATTATATGTCTTGGACATAATCTGAGTGTAAGCTGCTAAAATGTTATTAACGAAAGCGTTGTCGCTAAGTTATTCCTACAATCGTAGTTATTTATGAAATCATTAAGTTTAGCATTACCTCCTCTCCTTCTCGCTATCTCTACTACATTCACACAATCGGTGAATCGTTTCTACAGTGACTGATGGTGATCGGTGTTTTCAAATCTTATAATTTTGTCCAATAATAAAGAATGTATTCAAGACATTTCTTCATGACGCGTTTCTACGAATACAGCAATTAAAGAAATATCCAGTAAGTTAAACTCATCACTTATGATGCTTAAAATTACATTTCAACATGCAGTGAATTGGAGGAGTGAAATTCACGTTTAATTCTCAAATATAATTTTGTTTAAAAATGAACTAACCTCAAGGATAAGGTTGTCATAAGGTTGTAGTCGAAGTCATACATGCCATTACCTCGACTGACAATGAAACTCATAACGTATTGTGAACCATTACAAAAAATGGTGCGGTTCTCGTGATAGAAAAGCCTCGACGATGGAGTTTTGGGCAACATAGATTTGTTACACTAAGCATCATAGCGCATGCTACATTCTCTCTGCATTGATTTGTATCTTGCTAGTAAAAAAGTGCGTGTTGCGGGCTTCTCATTTTAACCTTGAAATTTCTGACATTTAATGTCATATTCAAGTCCCTCATTCACTTTTTGCCACATCACATCAATTGATCACTTCTACTGAAGTACCAAATAATCGAATGGGTCACAAATAGTGACCCACGGACAGCGCAAGCAAAAAGCGGGCGTATCAATGTTGCAGTGCATCGCTACTTGGACAATGTCTCGCGCATTTATATGAGCATACACTACATTGCAATTACACTCTCCATTCTCCGTGAAAAGCGACTTAAGATGTAATGGACATGAGAGAATATTTGAGGTTTTACATTTTCCATTCGTTCACTTTGTACTGTCTCACAAGTTTATACATGAATAATGAATATTTCGTATTATTAGAACAAGCGTTGTTAACTAGCACGGGATTCATCATTCGTTTATTATCAGAGGTATATGGCATGGCCTTGGTTATGATAGATAACAATTGATATTGTACAGAGGAATTAATAACGGTATAGCATACACTACATTGCAATTAGGCTCACCATTCTCAGTGAAAAGCGACTTAAGATGTAATGGACATTTGAGAATATTTGAGGTTGAACATTTTCCATTCGTTCACTTTGTACTGTCTTACAAGTTTATACATGAATAATGAACATTCCGTATTATTAGAACAAGCGTTGTTAACTAGCACGGGATTCATCATTCGATTATTATCAGAGATATATGGCATGGCCTTGGTTATGATAGATAACAATTGATATTGTACAGAGGAATTAATAACGGTATAGTAGCCGTAACGTCCACTTGAATTTTCAAAGAACAGGAAGCTGAAATAGTTCATTTAAACTTGTCAAAATAAGAATTGGTTTAATACATACTCATAATATTTCGACAAAAGTAAATTGAACGAACTATTTTTGACGGTTTTGTTAGTTCAGGCACTTATATATAGTACTTTTATTGTGTATAATGGCTTGAAAACGAATACGATACCTTGAAAGAAGAAGGCTCGGGAAATTAAATGTTTTTCCCATAACGGGAGACGGAAATTAAATCAAAATATTAGGACAAACGATGTTCAGTTTTATTTAAAATTGATGAACTAACATGATAATGTAACTACTTGGTACTGAATGAAGGATAAGAGAAGAGAGCCAAAAGCCTAAAGTATTATGAAGCAGACGTTATAGGCCCAAATAGGCTCTTTGCCACGCACGAGTTTAAACAAGAATGTTTAGTTTTAACAGCATATGGATGCAGTAAGCCTAGTGGAAGTTCAACTGCATTATTTATACATCAATAATTGCAAGGCCGACTGAGAAAAAATGCAGACATTTTACGCTAATAAACGAACTAAATATCGTTTACAAATTGAATCTATGACTTACTCTCTAGGAGGACGAAAAGTTCAAAACATCTTGCAGAGAATGATGCATTGATTATTGTGGTGAACGCTAGCGCCAATAAAGACATTTCCATCACATCAATGAAGACTAAATGATTCAACAACTAGTTAATCAATTCTAAAATGTATTTACTGTAACATTTGATAGCTCGTTTACCAAAATATTCATTTACCTTAACATTTAAGCACTTCAGTTATTTTCATTTTCTCTATAGAAAATTTTTTTGAAGGAAAACGGCAACATGTCTGTGTAAAGCATTGATTAAATCTGTATACAAAATTGATAAGGAAATAACACTGAAATGTTATCAGAGAAGCTAAAGTCCCGTTAAACATATGTCCCGTTAAGTTAAATTATGAACAGATATAAGTACGCCACTTAATAATCTAGGATTCAAAATAACTATGGCATAGCCTAGCGTATACTTGAAATCTCCAGTTTGAAACCTATTTTGAATCCGAATAGTTCGCTCCAAGCTTCCTCTTAATTAAAGACTTATTTAGGGCATACTTTATAACACTTGTTTCCTTTGTTTCGAAATTAGAAATATATTCATGAACTAAGACAGTCACGGCACTAACTGCTGCTGTAAGTGACAGTCACAACACTACCGCAGATGCACAAACGATGTGAGGTGCACTAACGATGCCAAGATGGCTGCCGTGAGCAGGATTGTGTGCAGGTAGACGGAACCTGCAGCGTGACTGCTGCACAATTCGTCCTCTGCAAAATATTTAGGAGTTAACGAACATATCGCGACCAATATACTTCATTTCTCTGGTGACTCACATTTAATTTGCTGTGCACCAAAGTCATGTACCATCTTTCAATAATATATTTACATAAATGTTAGTGAATCACTATTAACAACTTATGTTAACACTAAAGAGTTCGTCTCAGACCAAACAATTCACTGTCTGCCTGCCAGCCGATGTACTCACCGGGACGCTGGATTAACTTTAAATAATTTCTATTCATCTGACGCGCGTGCCCGTGAGAGCCTCCAGTGCTTCCGGCCACGGCTTCGAGGCTCCTAACCTCAGCATGTCGCTGTGGGGGACAAACCGTACAACTTTTTGTAGCAAGCAATAACTACCAGCATATATCTATCATACACTATTGGCTTGCATCCATCATTAACTAGTGGCTTGCATCCATCATTAAATACCGGTTTACATACATCGTTAACTAACAACTTCCCAGCAGACAATGTCAGGTTGAAACAAAGAGCTTCACGTAGTTGAAATAACGTCGAATATCATTCCAAAATGAAAAGGGAATCGACGTATTTTTTTCTACGTCGTACATTTCGACGTTGGTTTGACGTTGAAACCGCGTTAAATTCTGACGTTAAATTTATAAAAGGTTCATCAGGTTAACATGTTCTATCATGAATGTCATAGTATTCACGCGATTTCAAAGTTGAAACAACGTCGACATGTACGACGCGATTCAGATTTTCAAGTAAAATATATCATTTCTATTGACGGACGGCGCCTTGCGTGACACTGACATTACCTTAACTGACTATATATAATCGAGCTGACTTGCAAGTTTGTCTATGCCACCATTATCACTAGATTATAGTTAAACACAAATTAAAAATCAACCAGCATACCTCAAACAACGCCAGGGTGGGCATAAAGAAACAGAAAGAACATTAATTTTCAGGAATAAAATTTTTTATCATTGTACCACACAAGAAAAGATTAAACTTCATATAAAAAGAACATGAATTGGAAGAAAGGCAGAAATTTCAAATGATATTCTCTCTATTATTGAATTAGTATCATCTTTTATTAACAATAATGATCATTAATTATTATTTTTATTATTATTCATTCTATTAATAATTATTATTAGTAATTATTTTTGAAATCTAATTGTGAGTATGGGTTTCGTACTGACCCTAGCGCATTGCCGGCGGCAGCGGACCGATAGATGTTGCAGTGGTGGAGTGGCAGCGCCGGGTCAAACTTGCTGTACTGACCTGCCTTTTGACACAGCGCTTTGTGGAACTGAAACTGAAGTACGAATGCCACGAAGTACCTAAAGGATGAAACGGGGAATTAAATTTGAGTTTAGATTATACGGATTTGAAATCATCTAGGGACATCAGCTTGATTTTCTTAGATTTCATCGGCATTGGACACACCTACAAGCTCCGCAGACCTGAATGAACTGTAAGGTGTCAGAGCGTCGCTCCCATTTCAGAACACGGATCATTGAATCAAGGCAGATTTAAACCACAAAATCATCATAATTAATATTTTTTTCGACAGAGACACGTTGAACCCGGCTTTGCTCGGGATAATAACGTGCAGGTGTAATATCGCGACAAGGAGGTATCGTGGCTACGAGACCGAACAGCCCCTATTTATTTGTGATGCCAGACTTCGAACGCACTATTTTAAATAAATTTCTACAGTAAAGATAGACTACTCAAAAAACAATAAATAACTTAGTAAGCAAGCTCACCTCACGTATGGTACATTTGCTGCAACGTGGAATTTAGCGCCAGGATCGAAGTCGACCGACGAGCGCTTGCGTGGCGGCCGAACGCCTTGAATCTCGTATCTGAATGACATTAAATTAACAATCGATTACAATGATAAAAATGGTCAGAAAATCATTGTACCTCAGATCCCAAAGAAATCGTAGTTCAGTTCCTTTGCCAAGTTAAGTAATTTATCCTCATACGGTTAAGTATCACAATGAATAACGCTGCTTGACGTATGGTTAAATTAGGTTCGAACGCGCGATTTATTGAAGCAAAGCAAATTACAAATGGATTATTTAATGATAACACTGATAACACATGATTTTCAAACTCACAAAAACGAAGGACACCGTACAACCAAAAGCCACTCAATTTATGAACTGTGAGGAAGTATTGAAAAATACGCCATCTTTTCAGTATTGCAATTTAAAAGTTTCTGACCTGAAGTGTCGGGACATGTGGCAGTTCCAATCATCAGGTAAGTGTTACCGCCTCACCTCAGGTCCCACCAGTGACAGTTCTAATCATCGGGGTAAGTGTTACCGCCTCACCTCAGGTCCCACCAGTGACAGTTCTAATCATCAGGATAAGTGTTGCCGTTGAAGACATCCCAGCGCCATCTGTCCATGAGGTAACCGAAGGGCAGGAACACCACCTTGTCCAGGGCCATCAACATCAAAAAGTTGATGTCACTCTCGCGGTCAATGACGATGTCGTCGAGCAGGCCGATGTTTTTGAGGTGACGTGGCGTGGACACGCTCAGAGACATCACATCTCCGACCGCCTCGTGGAAACCTTACGACAAAAAAAAAATTCTTTAACTGCACAATCTTATCGAGTGATATTCGGATAAAGATAAACTTATTCAGAAGACGAATGCGAAGACTATAATCAATGTAGTATAGTATCCAATTAAAGTAGCAAATTTAACAAGTCTCATATTCAAGTGAATGTAACTAATTGTAAAATAAATCTTAAATAATAGTGATGATTATGACCTTCAACAGCGATTTACTTCCTGCCACATATTAATAACACCAGTAATATAGTGATTGATAAATATTGATGGCGGTTAAATTCGAGCTCACCAGGGTTGGCCCCCTCCCTGAAGATGAGCGGCTGGTGCCGGTACTGGATGAAGTATTGGATGTGGCCCATCTCGTGATGTGTCGTCACCAGGTAATCCATGTTCACCTCCGTGCACTGCTTGATCCTGATCACAACGGCACGTTGTTTAATGATCACAACGGTACGTTGTTTAATGATCACAACGGTACGTTGTTTAATGATCACAACGGCACGTTGTTTAATGATCACAACGGTACGTCGTTTAATGATCACAACGGCACGTTGTTTAATGATCACAACGGCACGTTGTTTAATGATCACAACGGCACGTTGTTTAATGATCACAACGGCACGTTGTTTAATGATCACAACGGTACGTCGTTTAATGATCACAACGGTACGTCTGTCTCTTATACACATCTAGATGTGTATAAGAGACAGGGATATGACTTTATCAAATTCAGTTCTTTGTTGGAAACCAGTTGAAATCAGATGGACAATAACTTTAAATTTGTAACAATATTCCTAGAATTAAAAATTGATGTATCACGGTAGTTAATAATAAAGGTACGAGCCAAAATAGTTAGTACTCTATCGTTTCGTCCAATGTTTAAGAAGTTAGGCAGAAGCCCTTTAGTATTTTTTAAAGTACTACTAAATTTTTAACTATTTATTGTTAACCACTAAACCCGAGCGCCATTGTAGGCACTCCCAGTAAAGAATTTACAATTTTCTGAATAAACGAAAATTTGAGGAGCTTTCTTACAATCTACTTCACTAAGCGAATTGAATTCGTCTTGAAAATTTTCAGACTTCAGTTCAGAAAAGAACCATACAAAGTATTACCTGAAGTCCACGCCGTTGCAGAACTCGCCTCTTGCCCAGTATTGAAAAAAACACATGTCCAAAATATTTTCCGACAGTTGCAGACTTCAGTGTATAAAATGTCTTTTTAGCGCATTTTCTCATTTATGGAAAAAAATGCCCTATTGTGCTCGTCATGTCCGTCCGTCCGACCGTCTGTCCCTGACTTCACGTTTTTGTCGATTCTGAGAAATTGCGCTCTCTGTCACTCACTGCAGTGAGTACCGAGTTATATTTTTTGTTACCTGTAGTCGACGCCGTTACAGAAGTCCCAGGCGGAGGCATGACACACCATCTCCCGCCCCAAGGGCTTCTCTATGATGCTCCTCGCCCAGAACTGGGGCGGCATGGCGCTCAGGTTGAGAGACTGGAAGAAGTCGTCAGCCAGGCGGAACATCCGCTCCGGGGTGTAGCCCTGAACGACAGAAACGCATCATTATTAAATAAAATGCAGCACCGAGAAACAATCACAGCACAGAGACCGAGACAGTCACAGCAACGAGTCAGTCTCAGCTCAGAGACAGTCACAGCGCGGACCGGAAAGAACGCTCAGGAACACGGGCAGTAAAATTCGAATTGATATGAGACAAGAGCATACATCATTTAAATGAGACAGATTGAGTAATTTGGACTATGATATGAACTATACTTTTTATAAAAAAAATTACAACGCTTCAGAAAAGTGTTAATAGATGAAATATCTTCTTGGCAGATAAAAAACTATATATGAACGCAGTTTTTAAGAATGCTTAAAACTGCGATATAAATTCAATAGACGAATACAAATACTTCAGCTAACCTGTTATGAATTATAGAGCAATTAAAAAAATGACCAACTTCACTTTTAAATTCTGCGAAATAATCTGTAATTACTAGAGACGAGACGCACCTGCGCCTGCATGAACTGGGTGACGTCAAGCGAAGGCTTGTTAGGGTACGGCTGCACGATGTCGTATATGTTGCTCCAGCTCTGGGCCCACATGTTGCCTAGTAGGTGTGCGGGTATAGCGCCTCTACGGCTCACTTTGTCTTGTCCGTACACCTACAGCCAGTACAATTACATCCATTAACTTCACCGTATAGTACCGGTACAATATCATTATATTCAATTTGTCTTGCCCGTACACCTGCAGCCAGATCAATTACATCCATTCACCGTATAGTACCGGTACAATATCATTATATTAAATTTGTCTTGCCCGTACACATGCAGCCAGTACAATTACATCCATTAACTTCACCGTATAGTACCGGTACAATATCATTATATTCAATTTGTCTTGCCCGTACACCTGCAGCCGGTACAATTACATCCATTAACTTCACCGTATAGTGCCGGTACAATTAATGGGTGTATCATTAGATTCAATTTGTCTAGCCGTAAATCTTGGTCAGTAAAATTACAGCCGTTAACTTCATCTTAACCGAGTGCCGTAAAATTTTATCAATTTACTTCCACGAGTTTGATAAATTGATAATAGTAACAACAGATGATAATTTCCAAACAATTGAATGATTTTCCAAGGAAAAAAGATAGTGAATGTCTTTACAATTTGTTCCTAAAGGTGCCTGGCGGAATAGAGAGCAATACAAATCATCAGTACAGTGTCGAATACGGAAATCGTCGAAATTCTGAATGATGTCGAATACGAAACTGTAAGCACGATCATTCAACAGCTGCCAGATTTTTCAAATGCTACAAATAAAATGGTTTACACGAGGATTAATGAAAGAAATTTTTTAACAAAGCCGAGATTGAGACTAAAATTTTATTGTAGAACTAAATTTTGAGGCGCAGTCCAAATGTAACGAGAACTTTTACGATTGCTTCACTGGAAATCCTCATCAACACGTACCTCCTTCAGCCGACGTCGCACGTATGCATCAATGACACGTACCTCCTTCAGCCGACGTCGCACGTATGCTTCACTGACACGTACCTCCCTCAGCCGACGTCGCACGTATGCGTGCAGTTGTTCGTATAGCGGTTTCAATTGAAGCCAAAGCCTCTTCATGTCGCTTTTGAACGTGAGTGACTCGTAAGGATAAAGCCACATCTCGCCCATGTTGTCAAACCCTATTGGTGCAACCTCAATTATTTTAAAGGAACACTTAAAGGTAACACAATCTACCTTCATGTCGCAATAAGAGATAACACACTCCACCTTCCGATAGCAATAAGAGGTAACACAATCTACCTTCAGATACTACCTTCAGGTAGCAACTAGGTGATGCAATCTACCTTCAGGTAACAATACGAGGTAACACAATCTAGATTTAGTTAAAAATGAAAGGTAGCACAATCTACTGTACCTTCAGGTAACAATACAAGCTAGGTTAATATAGGCAATAATGTAAGCGGACTATAGGCTCTTTTAATTACATTTTTTAGTAATCTCATGCAATTATATTAGTAACCACAAATTGAAATTAGTTCCACACATGACTGATAGTTCCAATTCAGAATACTAATCTCAAAGGAAATTACATATCATGTATACTACGTAACATAATCTACGTAATCCTGCAGCAATTTGATGGAAAGTCTAAGGTACACCGAATGGAGTTTAGTCGGATGATATACTGGAAAATAGCAGTTCAAAGTGGTAATCAATACATGCTTTAATTTGATAACGCGCATATACATAGCCGCACACTAACCGGGTCACGTTCATTTGAGCTTCTCATCCAACGCATGCAAATTCAGCAACCAAGTGAGTTATTACTTAGGACAATATCAGTATTCACTACAGTTCATCATCTCGTTTAGATTATAAAACAGTTGAGTAAAGCAATTTTTCATGAACGTAAAATAACATTTTTAGAGAAATATAACCAAATTACAAGTGCTATCACTAAAAAAATTAGAATAAAAAAAAGTATTGGATAGCAATTAAAAAAACGCTGCAATTTAAACAAATATGCAATTAAAAAAAACTACTTCAATAAATCTAGTTGACAAAAAACTCAATCTCTTAGATTAGTAGATGCATCATTTGACTTATTTCAAAATATAAAAAATATTTCAGGTCCTTTAAAAAGAAATAGTAAACTCTTTTTGAAAATGAAAATCTTTGACATTTGATTTGTGATGCTTTCTCCTGATTTTGCAATGCGTTGCTGTTCTCCTACTAAGAATACATTTTCAGGTCCAGGTAATATCCCAACACGATAAGCAAGCCGGATAGGCGCCCCAGCAGCTTTTATTTCTGCAGCGCCGGGCTTCAAAACACAAACTTTGACAAATACATCGTTAAATTAAAAGATTATAACGTTAAATTTTCCAGATACTCACGATTACGCTGCGCAGCTTCGTTGGCGAGCTCGACGAATTGTTCGTACTTTTTCCTCATGAGAGCACCAGACGACAGCCGCCATTCCTCCCAAACGTGCCGAAGCTCATCGTAGTTGCGGCTCTTCTTCATAATACGCGTCAAATCTGTTCGAAGATTACAATAAATTTTAGTTCTTCAAAGCTGGACCAATAAGTTTTTCATTGAGAGATTGGCATCGAATGCCACACTTGCTAGCAGATAAGCATCCTGCATGCCAATACGAAACCTGGAAATTACAGTCATTGAGGTTACGTATTTGCTCCTCTCACTGTTGATTGCAGCTGATCAAGGAAAGACGATGTAAAACTCTGTTACGACGATGACAAACCAATAAAAAGACGAAGATAAAGGCTACTGAAAGGTTTTTTTCTGAAACAATAGCAAATCAGAATCACAGTTCCGTAAGGCTGTTTGAATCAAGTCAGTACATAGAGTAGGGCTGGAACAAATGATTTAATTACAATCACCGATGATGGTTCTAGGGTAGTCATAGGGTTCTCAGACATTACAATACGACATTATTGTTTACAGGCATTACAGCAGATGATGATTCAAGAAAGAACAATGAATGATGATCCAAGAAAGAGCTTAATGAGAAACTTTTGTAAAGTTAATTCAGCTCGAACATAATTTCAGGAGCTTGCGACAGTAAAATCAAGGTTGCTGAAAGTTTAGCTTTGCATAGGAACAACGTTGTTTTAAAATTTAAATGGTATCCACGGTAAATTGAATGACAGACGAGAGAATAAACACTACCTTTGAAAGATTCAGCTAGCTAAAATTAATGTAGAGTAAAATTATAAAACAAATCTTGTCTGCAAAATTCTCAGCGTGCTTTGCGTTCTGTATGCAACCCGCATTATATTCGTTGGAAGAAGCGTCTTGGTTGTACAAGTTCAGCCAGAGCGTGGCGAAATCTTATATTTTTTAAGCGTTGCCATTCAGTCCTCTCCAATTATTAATTTAGAGGAAGAATCAGGCTACAAAAAAATTTAAAGACAAGAGTACGTCACGGAAGGACTGGTCGCATTTACGGCCAAAATTTTAAAGAATTCACACAAACTAACCAGTTTTCATGTCTCAAACTGAATAATCCTTCGAACCTCGAAAATTCAAGCCAGATGTCTACGCACTTTCACAAATTGTGTGTATTGAACTCGACACAATCACGTGTGGCATAACCATGATAACACAATGTAGCATATTTATCAGGAGGAGTTCTTACAGTTCTAAGTTACAGAAGATGCATGCAAATTTTTCTTAGGACGCAGCAGAAGAAAATTCCTGTAAGGATACAGCGAGGCTGCAAAGCGCACATTGTAGCTTTTTTTTCTACTGAAGATTAATTGAGAATGGCAATCAACTCAACTAGGTGCATCTTATTAAGTAAATTGCCCTGAAGATCTTTAATCGCGCACCATTTGACGCGATTTCCTAACTTGTAATTTCAACAAGAATCGGTTTAGTAGATCAAAAGTAATTAACATTTCGTGGTCGGGCTAACATGAGAATTATTATATGGTGTTCATGGACACGAGCAGTGATGCGAGCGATGTTATGTAGAGAGCTGGGAGCATCATGCAGAAACCGAGAAGGTACGAAAAAAAGAAACGCTACAAAACCGGTTTCGTTGAATGCCTGCTATGCCCCGTCAACCCTGCAAGCTACGCGGTTGCCAGGGCATAGCAGGTTATATCCTAGCTACGCCGCCTCCGCTCAGAAATTATCATTTATTATTTTTCCTCCGGAACTCGAAACTTTTTGTTCATTAATTTGTTTATTTTCTTTCCTTACAACAGTTTATCAGAAATTGTCAATAAAATTATTTGATCATGTAAAACTATAAAATTACCGCTTCACTTGAAGTGCAAGAAGCATGCTTCTACATTACACTCTACAAATAAAATTCCAATGCTCATCCATCATCTTTCTCATACGCCAGTACTCACTCGGATTGTTAAAATCTCAAAATCCTTCATTTACCCGCGTTCCTGAATGACTCTAGCAATATAAGCTTCTTACAACAACTTAGACACATACCCTTTAATTGCAACATGAATTTTTAGCCATTAACGTAACACTTCTATAAAAGATCGCCGCACCGCAGGTCATCGTTGCCGCTTGGACAAGAGAAAAGGGAAACTTTATGGTGCCAAATTGAAAGCGACAGCAACAGGAAGAGAAAGTGCAAGAACTGTGTACGCTTGAGCACTCTAGTGTCAGTTGTGAGCGTTAAGTACTTAAATCTGAATTGAGCAATACTCATGGCAAGCGTGGCAAACGTTCATGTCATCGAACAGTANCAGTTGTGAGCGTTAAGTACTTAAATCTGAATTGAGCAATACTCATGGCAAGCGTGGCAAACGTTCATGTCATCAAACAGTATTATGGATCCGCAAATGCGCCACGAGTGTTTAATTGGCATTCGCTGAATTTCCCAAACAAAATAAAGAGATGTCAATCTCTTGGTGCACAAATCTCTTTGTGTATTGTGGTGTCATTTGGTGTTAACATGAAAAAATATAACTCAGCACTCACTGCAGTGAGTGACAGATATAGCGCATGTTCTCGTCAACGAAAACGTGAAGTCACGGACGGACAGACAGACGGACGGACGGACGGACGGACGGATATGACGAGCACATTAGGGCATTTTTTTCCATAAATGAGAAAATGCGCTAAAAACATGGAAAGTGTTTTTCATCGACAGAAAATTTGACCGAATGCGATGATCATCACGTTGACGTAAGTTAGAACTCAAGGAAAGATTGCAGCACAACGACTTTAACGAGAAAACAGCTGAACGCAGCACATTGTGGCCTTGACTCTCAATTAGCGTCATTGTGATCAATGTAAAGAAGGAGGCATTTCGGCGCGAATGTGAAGCTTGTTGCGGCAAGACATATACACACGCAACCATGCATATTGCATAAGGACCATTCGATTCCGACGTGGATACAAGTATTCAAAAATGCACTCTCTGGTCATAAATTGTACGCATATAATCAAGAAATTTCTGCCATCTTATAATAATTTGGATACAAGTATGTGCATGAATAAGATAACGAAGTTGTCCTCGCTCTGAAAAAGGTTGAAGGATTGTTAACTTTATGCAAATCGGAAGAAATGAGCTGCAAATTGTGTTAACAATTTTAGTTGTGTAACTATAATATAACAAAAATGACGAACTTGAAACTGTTTGTCAGACAAGTTACATATAGAAAAGAATTATAGAAAAGCTAGTAATTAATTCATACCTAATTTTGCTATACACAGCAAATAATGCGTCTTCACCGTAGGCAGCAACAGAGAACTCTGAACATGCTTTCAAAACTCGTCCAAGTGCTGGTATATAGTATATAGTGGCCTTTCGGCACATGCGCATAGCGGCCGAAGTATACATAGCGGCCGAAGTATACATAGCGGCAAATTTCTTGTCTGTTATTTGTAGGCATAGATTGAAAAGCAGTCAGTGATTGGCTAAAGGAGATAGAACTCGTAACTTTTTTTGATGGCAAGTCCCCAGTACCACTGTAGTCATTACTGGGACTTGCCAACACTGCAGAAATGGGGGCGGCTCGAGGATATGCCTACAGCTATTAATTAGCCCGGTCAAGTCTTTAGCTATACCGGTACCAGCTTATAACTCCTATTGTAGCACATAAAAGCAAGCTGCCAAGGTGACTGAAGTAATACGGTCTATTAACATTTATACAACATCCTGCACGTAAGGTGAAGGAAGCAGATCTATTATATTGCAGATGAGGGTGTAATGTAGATGAGTGTGTAACTACGCACATTCTACACAGTACAATTTGGTACTCATTAATTCAGTGAGGCAGACAAAGAGAACGTTATCCATGCAGTGTACCTTCTCGGCTAACTAATTAGAATATAAGCAAGATACTCAAATCAAATCCAAGTTTAAGAAAAAAATAACACTAAAAACAAATTGTTAATTATATTAATAGTACGGTACCACCTAAGATGCTGAAAATTAAAAATTGTACAATTGTTAACTATAAATTTTTATTAAAGTTAACTAAAATTGTGTTGCACCGACGCTCGTGACTCGGCAAATTGTCAATCGATATGAGAATGAAATCGAATTTTAAGCTTCAGTATCGCAGCTTATCGGTGTCTAATTCCCATGCAATTTATACCATTTAAAAAGCAACTGTCTAATTATACACGATCAAATACCATTAAATCATTTGAAAAACTTCAAGACATATTATTTGAATACACATGCACGCGGCAATTGGTATGTTAAACTACGATGTCGACATTCCGGAGATGAACGAGTTTCTTCGGAGCGCTGTCACGTACCGAGCGCAACAATGGCATTTGTTCTGCATGCACGCCGGTTCAGCTTCGGTGTTGAACAGAATTCGGATAAGTTCGTGACAGAATAGAACAATGGAGGCGGAATCTGGAAAATCTGCAACTTGCTGAGGCCAATCGAGGATAAACCATAAACATGCGTGCTTACATGTTTTTCAAATGTTGAATGGGGCATGTTTTCATCTACCCTTAGAATGAAGCAAGTTTTAGCCTGTACACGTTGAAAGGGGCAGGTTTTCATTTAAACGTTAAAATAGGACGTCTTTTTATATTATCTATTATCTACATCTACACGTTGAATAAAGCACCTTATTGTTCTACACGTTGAATGGAGCACATTTGTTCTACACGTGAATAGGGTACATTTTCATGTAAACGTTAAATGAATCACGTTTTCATTTACACGTTGAATGATATCCCTTAACCAGTTGAAGTCTAAAAGAATAAGAAGGTAACATGTCAATGACATGCACAGAGAGCGGGTAAAGTCAACATTTAGCCTTACAATCGAATGAAAGTACTCAACCCAGAAGGATTCACGATGAGTCAGTCCACTTGGATGGATATATCATAGCCATCAATTACGTTAGAGTCGGAGGAACATCAATTTCAAGACTGCGTTTTCAAATAAATAATTTTTTTGGACAGCGTGACATATGTCCTCATAGTAATTTCAAGGAAGAAAAACTTGAGATCTTTAGTAGAAAATTCATTCATAGAGAAAAATAAATCAATTATCGCTCCTGATCTTGCATTTACACTTCATTACATATATACCGAAACTATCCGCACCTTCTCTACATGGGGCATTAAAAATCGAAAAAAAACGTATTGTTCGCCATGCCAACGGAATTCCATAGTTTTCACATTACAATATCAACGGTTATCACAATTTGGTAACAGGAATTTCTTACACCTTACATGGATTTGACCGTAACCTTGTGTCAGACTCCATTCCTGCATACATTTAGTAAGACCCAAGTGACTACTAGCATACAAAGGCTGAAGTTACTAATTCATTCAGGACGATCTAAGGAAAAGCTGAGAACAATGACACATTGTGTGCATTTATTTGATAGAAACTAAGCTTCAAACATGATAAGAATAACCTAAATCTTGCTTATATATTCCCAGAGAATACAATGGTATTAGTGTCATGCACAGGCCGCATATAATCTCTAAATAAACGATTTTAAAATTTTAGAACGTAGTATTTCAATAGAGTATTTCTAGACCCGATCGTAGAAAATAAGCGAACACCTATACGATTAATCTTTCAAATTCTAAAAGTGAGATACGAGTTGATGATGACCATGAGCTTGGAGTGATTAAGATCACCATGATTAGAGCAATAAAACATCCAGTTGCGGTTCGAGACCCGCAGCTAGCTGTTAAAATTCTGCATGCTTGAAACGGTGACATGCCAATAAATGGCTTTATATTTAACGCTGACATCAAGGTACCAATATATTGCTATGATTACAAAATCATAATTATCATCCTATTAGTAGTCTCGGGCAGTATCACTCAGCGTACATCGCATAATAAGGAATAAATGAGCCGCGTTAGGAAAATTAAAGAGCGGAACAAGGGGCGTGTACAGCATCAACACAAAGGGCACGCGTCGCCGCAATTAAGTCTTTCTTGCACAGGTGCGACCACGCGGCCAAGCTGGATAAGCGATCGCAGGAGACATTTTTCGCCACCGAAAACTTGTTGCATGCAATAGCTAGTGAGAACGAATATAATTAAAACACGTACGCTGATCAATTATTAATTATGATTCATTCTGACATTAAGAATTAAGATGATCGACATTAAACTAATTTTCAGCTGAATCATATGCTACATAAGAAGTAGTTCGAAAATAGGAGGCGTTTGTCTTTGCATTTTGCATATGATGAAAGGCAAGTTTATTATGCCCATTCACTTTACTTTGTATGCATCTTCGTCACATTACTTTCATTTAGGAATCTTACTTTCATGTTGAAATGAATTACTGCAACTTTCACCTACTCGTAGAATTATCATAATTACCCTGAGTTACCCTCTCGGTGGGAGGCCTCGCGAGAGCTACTCTTTCTAGGAGGAGGCTCCCATAGAGTTACCCTCTCTTGGAAAATGCCTTCCATAGTACCCTCATACATACCCTCTCAAGACGAAGGGCCCCGTATAGTTACCCTTTCTTCAGGGTAGAATTTTGGATCATGTCAACAAGACATATCGGATAATAAAATATAATTTTTACATTTTCAGCAGATCCCCACTTTTTAGTACATCGAAGGTATTACTGATCCGCGCCAAACTGGGTTAAAATGCCCCACGCAATGGAAAAAGTGCTATTTAGACAATTTCCCGATCACTTCTCCGAGAGCAGCACTAGCAGTCCAGTTACGCGGTCGCGCCCTGCATGCGTATAGCGGCCCGGCAGGTTAAGGGGGCAGGTTGGGGGGCAAATTTTCCCACGAATAAATGGCGAACGAATGACGTGGCAGCAACACGCAGACAAATCGAGTAGTAATACTGTCCAAATAGTTACAAACATTAATACCGTAGTACTGATACGTGCTTCTTTCGGGCCCAACCGACCCATAATGATCCACACAAGTGCAGAAGTGCATAGTTTTTTAGACTTTGTTATTAATTTGTTTGAGTGCAAAGATTACAAGCATCGCTATTCTAACCCTACTACTCACTAGGCTCCAGGCGTAAGTTGCAGTTCGTGAAGTCGTTGTAGTCACAAATTTTAGCCGTGCTGTACGTGGTCTTCATGTCGCTCACGAGGTCGTTATACTGGAACAACGTAAGAGGTCGTTATTCTGGAACAACGTAAGAGGTCGTTATACTGGAACAACGTAAGAGGTTATTCTGGAACAACGTAAGAGGGCGTTATACTGGAACAACGTAAGAGATCGTTATACTGGAACAACGTAAGAGGTCGTTATTCTGGAACAACGTAAGAGGTCGTTATACTGGAACAACGTAAGAGGTCGTTATGCTGGAACAACGTAAGTGGTCGTTATACTGGAACAACGTAAGAGGTCGTTATACTGGAACAACGTAAGAGGTGTCTCTTATACACATCTAGATGTGTATAAGAGANCTCACCCCAATTGCCCACCTTGGCGAGCATGTCCCCCACTGCCCACTTTGGCAAGCCTGTCCCGTACCACTAACCCGCCCCAATGACTCACCTTAGCTAGCCTGTCCTCAGGGAGGGCAGCGGTGCCCAGGATGGACAGGTGCCGGAACTGGCGCCTGAGGGACTCGTTGCGCAGCGTTGGCCAGCGGTGGCCCCACTCGCCTGTCACGAGCTCCCACTGCTCCTTGTCCCAGCGAGCCTTCTCCAGCTGCGCCTGCGCCTGCACCCACCAAACAATACGCTCTATTAATAAAATACAGTCGTTTACTTCCTTGTCAAAAGCGACAAATTGTCAGCATTAGCTAAAATATATTACACTCTCTCAACTAAATTTAGCGATTCAGTAACTTTCATTCCATAGTCACAGGCATAAATAATTATAATCAAGCGGATTAGATAATTTGACCCTTGTCGAACTGCATAATTTTACTAGGTAATAATTATTGAGCACAACTGTACCTATGGAGTCATCCAGAAGTTAATCAAGCATTTCGTGGATAATTGTCAACTCATCACAAAATTGATGAAATATCTAACATACCCGAAGCTGATTGTTCACCGCGCTGAGATCGGCCTCATAGTTCCAGGACGCCTCGACCAGCTTGTTGCACTCGAGCTGCGACCGCTGCTCCAGACCCGCCAGGAACAGACGAGCTTCTATCTCATCTGCAACACAGAATATGTATCATGGATACCAGTAATGCTTGCACGAGCAGCACACTGCGTATCGTGGATACCAGTAATGCTGGAACGAACAGCACACTGCGTATCGTGGATACCAGTAATACAGGCGCGTGCAGCACACTGCGTATCGTGGATACCAGTAATACACTAATACAGGCGCTAGCAGCACACTGCGCATCGTGGATATCAGCGATTGCCGCAGCTGCTATGTATCAGCCCAGTGAACTAAACCATCAACATCATCTTGCAATTGCACTTTACTTGAAATATTCTAAATTGTATAACAAACTTGTGTGTGTCATCGGTATACATAAAGCATACGCTTGACACTACTTTAGGCAGAACGTTTATAGAAGGAACGAAGAAAACAAGCCCAAGAATGCTTCCTTGTGCATGGCACGCCACTAGCTGCGCATTGTTGCCTAGTCTGATACGGTTCCGTTGATACTGATAAGTTGTCGTCTATCTACTAGAAAATCTCTGATCCATTGGAGTGCATTTCCCTCTATTCTCAAAACTTTACTTTACTCAACAGCCGCTCATGCGGAACAAGGTCAAAGGCTTTAGCAAAATCGAGGTACATTGCATCCACTCGCTCCTTGCGTATAAGTGACTTCAGTTTAGTTTAATGACCAAACGTTGACTAGCGCTTCAGCTATTTAGCTATCTCGCACCGAAAGTCAAGATGAATATCACCAAAGAGGTAGATGGTCTCAGCTATCAAAAGATTCTCAAATCAAAAATTGTTTACCACCCAAAAGGGGCGGGAGGTCTCAATTGTCCAGCCCGCTGAAGCTGGCTCGAAAAGAGCAGCGTTAGCATGTCAAAGTGACAAAGTGACAAGGAGGGACAGGTGAAACCGTGATAAGCAACAGAAACGAAGACACTCGAACAAGAGGTCGCTTACACAGGAGGTCGGCCGCCCGCACGAGAGAGAGAGAGAGAGAGAGAGAGAGAGAGAGAGAGAAGGTAAATGTGAGGAATCCTACCTACATAATAACTTGACAACTGAGTTCTGCAGTCAGACACCGCGAACTCAGCAGTGGGGCGCTCAGGAACAATTCCAGTACGAGCGCGAAATCCCATAAGACTTCTGACGAGTACAGACACGTGTCAGATGTTCCCTCTGAGGGGACAAGTGACTTCAGTCGTGGATGCTTACAATCTAGAGAACTAATAAAGAGTGTCGTCAAAGCCAGGCTACATGCAGCATCAAAGGCACAAAGCATATGTTCAGTCTTAAAATACCTAGCAAATTACGGAGCAGGCAATAAGTCCAGCAGCTATCTCAATCAATCGTCAGTTATGGAAAGATCGGGTTCCAAAGGTCGGATCCCTTGTGAATCAAGTCACGAAAAGTTCAAGAATCGGCAACAGGCCATGGGCCTATGTCTTCAACGCCGACACTTCTATTCTATTCTATTTCCCTCTATTCCCAAAACTTTATCTTTACTCAAAAGCCGCTCATGCGGAACACGGTCAAATGCTTTAGCAAAATCGAGGTACACAGCATCCACTCGCTCCTTGCGTACAAGTGACTTCAGTTTAGTTTAATGGCCAAACGTTAACTAGCGCTTCAGCTATTTAGCTATCTCGCACCGAAAGTCAAGATGAACATCACCAAAGAGGTGGAAGATCTCAGTTATCAAAAGATTCTCAAATCAAAAATTGTTTATCACTCAAAAGGGGCGGGGGAAGCTGGCTCTAAAGAAGCAGCGTTAGCATGTCAAAGTGACAAGGAGGGACAGGTGAAACCGTGATAAGCAACAGAAACGAAGACACTCAAACAAGAGGTCGCTTACACGGGAGGTCGGCCGCCCGCACGAGAGAGAGAGAGAGAAGGGAAATGTAAGGAATCCTACATACATAATAACTTAACCCCACAACTGAGTCCTGCAGTCAGACACCGCGAGCTCAGCGGTGGGGCGCTCAGGAACAATTCCCCTACAAGCGCGAAATCCCATAAGACTTCTGACGAGTACAGACACGCGTCAGAAGTTCCCTCCGAGGGGACAAGTGACTTCAGTCGTGAATGCTTACAATCTAGAGAACTAATAAAGAATGTCGTCAAAGCCAGGCTACATGCAGCATCAAAGGCACAGAATTCAGGTTCAGATAATTATAATCCGTCAGATCGACTAGCTAGCCAAAAACACGAAGATTTTTTATCGAGATGGTCCATAGCCACTGCATACATATCTATAGTCACAGTCCTCTAACGCAAGATCCAACCACACTATGCCTAGATTCCAGAGGTGGGCAGTAGCGCGCTACATGTAGCGGCCGCTCCTAGCGGCCGCTACATTATCAGTAGCGGTAGCGGTAGCGGCGCTACAATTAAGCAATTGTAGCGGTAGCGCCCGCTACATATTTAAGTAGCGATACGGGGTTTTGCCGCTACAGCGCTACCGCTACATTTATAGATAAAGCCTTTTGATTTTACTTAATAGTATTAAATATTATTTAAAAACCAGCATGATACATACAAAATATAAATTACAGAATAAAACTGTACGAAATATTTCGGTGTAATGTTGTCAAAAGCCACGTAGTTAACATTTTTTTTCAAGCAACCGCTGTTAAAAAGTTCACGAAGCAGTTTATTTTTGCAAGTTTTTGCGGCCCCGCTAATAATAGACGTTTACTTTCGCTTGGACTCCATGCAGTCACCTGATCACTGTTCAGGGCGAGGCTTATCACTCATAAAAACGCCAGCAACGACATGCACGCGGTGACCTCCGTTAGCCTCATGCAGTGCACGTGAAGCATATATATAGTTCGGTCCACCGTGTAATAGTTCTTACTAATTTCCTTCGGGAAACTTTTCGCATTTTTTTCATGAAATCAACAAATACGTATACCTACATGATCAATCTATTAAGGCATAAAAATTTGGCGTCCTCGTCTCAATTTCACGTACCCTATATTTTTTCGACTTTACACAATGAAAAAGTTTTTCAGTTCATTCTAAATTGCTTACGTTTTTACGAATACATTAAAGAGTAATATGTCTATGGAAAAATAGAAATTTCCGTACAAAACAATATTTTTGAAAGATTTAGCAACTGCGACCCTGCCCAGCCTGAATTGAACACTCGAAATATACTCAACCGAGAACTTGGTTCGAAAAGCTTGTTTTAACCATCAACATTAAGCATATAGTAATGCATGAACATATAGTACCCAGGTATCATCACAAAATTAACAGAACATCTAAGATCCTTCACCGAACTCATTGAAACTCTCAACACACACATGTAAGTGAATGACAGCATGTTAACGAACCTTTCATAGATCGTGAAGAACTTGTATCGCATTCAACATTAGCTGGCGAATGATTTCGTTAGTGTAGATATCGATCAGCAGTGATAAGACACAGTATGCCTATGCCCATCCAAACTGAACAATTTTAGGTGCACGGGGACAGTACTGACCAGTAAAACTTTCAAATTCGAATTGCTGCTATTTAGGGTTATAGTGGCCACGGAAGGACCCAGTAACCCTTTACACGAGGCTAGTAGCTTCATAATTAGTGGCGGTTAGCATTTGAAAGGTGTACTATCAGCCACTGTCCCCTGGTAAGAGCACCTTTTACAGCTGAGGTTATTCACGGGAGCTTTTCTCCCGTGCTCATGTCACGCATGAGCTTAAAAATATGACGCCTCGAGCAAGCGCTTTAGTTAAAGCTTTCCAACACCTCGACACGTCCGACATGTGAATGGGCCAAAAACGCTCCCTCGGGCAGCACCATTAATCATGACGGCACGTTGAACCCACAGGTTTTCTAGGCCCAGGACCTTACTTTCGACTTCATTGAAAAGCATTTTGAACTTTATTAGTTCTACACCGGCGACACGGAAGTTTCGGCGAGCTGAAAGATGAGAAATTGGATACTTTTCATTACGTGACGACTTTAGCGGCTGCGTAACATTCCTTTTAAAAATCGTGAGTCGACGCGATGTGGTAAATAATACTTCTATTTCAAACGGCCGAGTTCAACCGCCATTCGTTATCAGTGCAAATAATGACGACCGCCAGTTTATCACGAGGTCATAGCAGGTTCCTCTTTTGAAATAAACCTAGGTTACTCTCGTGGTTTGAAGTTTAGTTTGCATTCCGAAAGATGGTTAGTCGATGGAAGTAAAAGAAGAAGTAGTTATGGCATTGCGGTAATCGTTATAACGGCAACAAACTTACGTCTTCAGTGATGAGCATAATCAAGAAATACAGGTGTGCAAAATCCATTAGCAATTGTTCAAACAATGTCGAGATGCGGATTCAATCGATTTATAAGCCTTTTCACGAAATGAGGCTGGCTATCGCAGAAAGTGAGTTTGCCTTGGCTAAACTCAAAGCAGCACATCTTGTATCATCCATGCAATGTTTCGGAAGCAAATACTGTATTGTAAATATAAAAAATACAGTAACCAGATCTGAAGATAAAACTATCTTGAGACATGTATATACTGGCAACCGGAGTTTCGTACGTCACACACGAGTGAAGTAACCAATACCTGGTTTCGTTCAATGCTGGCTGCTGGTAAGAAAATCATCTTCTCTTGTATAATGTGACTTTTCAAACAGGATGTAAATTCATTTGGTTTGATTCAGGACACGCTCATCACAACAGGAACCTCACCACCGCACGTATAGTAGTTACACACAGCCAACCGCTAAATCGTTATACTGACACCCAACGGTAGTCAGTATGAAATGTCTTTGCAAAACCCTTTGCACAAAATGTCAGTTCAACTATAGATCAACAGGTGAATTGAACGGTACACTCTAATTGGGTTTCGCATTCCAACATCATTGCAGGAAAAGATCGAAAAAAAAAAACAGAGAGAACGGCTTGTGGTTTCTTAATATTCAAATTGAAGTAATAAATGTAAGTAAATTAATAGAAAATTACCTGCACCCTGTGAGTGACAGAGGTCTATCGCCAGAGCGATCGTCACGATCACACAACACACCTTCCTCCGTAAGCACACCATTGCAACTGAGTACTGACCACACAGTCCACGCTCAACAGTGCACCCTACACACTTGCCTCAAGTTTAGTGAAGGAGCCTTCAATGCCACGGTATTAAGTTGCTACCCATCTTCGCTACATACGAATGGACAATGTAATAAATTTAATTTACGATATATACTTTTTCACACGGAAATCGATTTTTTCTGCACAGAAAAATAATGAAAAATTATAGCTGTCTTGTTAAAAAATACGGCATTCTTCAGCTGCATAATGCGTCAAATTTCGACTGTCATACACCCCATCATGAATATTGTGCGTCGTCGTCGTCATGCTATAAAATCGCAGTTTTTGATAGAAATGCGAATAAAGCTTTTTTATGATTTATGTTTTCACCATCACCTCATGTTGGATGCGTAATATTTCCATCATAACTCTCCCATAAACTTATGTTACTAGTCCATGGAAATTAAATTACGACCTTTCATCAAAGAGAAGGTTACCAATTGGTAACTTTCACATTAAAAACTTTCTTCTAGAGCTTGTATTGAATACATTAAAGTTGATCCGAATGGGTAGACACTATTTCCTGAATTCAAATGTCAATTATTTTCATATATCAGGGTGTGTACTGGTATTTAGAAAAAAATCCATGACTTTTTCATGACCATCAATATAATTTTCCAAGACTCGTATAACACAGGTTTAGCTTGACTGAAAGACTAACCGAGCGTTCAAGAACAGACTAGATAAAGCTATGGAAAAATATATGTTCAGATTTGAAATGCCTAGCACCAATCGAACCCAGTGGAAGTCTAGTAGTTATTTCAAACTATCGTCAGTCATGAAAAGATCCGGTCAAATGACACAATTTTAGATCTTCTGTGAACAAGGCACTTGAAGTAAAAGAATCGGCGACAGGCCACATGGCCTACACTTCAGCGCCGACATCACTATGTTATTTTATGTTAATGCACACAAGATTGTACATTAATAACGTCAATACAGTTCAGAACATTCTTCTAATTTCTTCAACATCACTACCCTAACATTCAACTGGTAGCTATTTCAGCAACTTTTTCTTTAATGTTCCGTTCATGAGTGTCTAGCTTCGTTTCCAGAGATCGCCTCATGGCGTTGAACTTTGCGATAATTTTGATATCCCCTTTCTCTCCATTGCTTCTGCATATTCATCTGCTGCTTGCTCAAGCACCTTGATCTCCTCCGTACACCTTTTCTTCTTCTTCAGTTCATCTAGCTCATTCAACAGAGCTTTCCTCTTCTGGGTTTTCTGAGCCTTCGCATTCTGCTCTTTCTCTTCTGCCAAATAAATATTGTATGCTGTTTTGGCACTGCCAGCAGCAGGCAGCATCTTCCTGGTGATGGTCATCTTGTCCAGGCCATCAACATGATCAACCACAGCACGCAGGGCAACCATCGTTCGCTCTTCCAGAAGTGCGTCATGATTTCATTGTTGAACGAAAACCTTTCAACCGTGACTTGGCCATGAGACACGAGCATGAGCATCTGCACTACATTCCAGAGCTTCCTGCAGGTGCTCTTTGACAGAATGGCATACCAAAATGTGTCCAATGTTCATAAGTTGAAAATGCTTGGAACTGCGCGTTCAGTTCATTGCAACGCTGTGATTCATCTCTTAAGTTGCACATCTCATCGCACAACACCATCCACATCTGTGTTGGGGAATCTCTTGGCATTAACAAGCAAATTGAGACAGTTCTTCAACTGTCTTTTCGTCTTCCTCTCAGTCCTTCTTCATTAAGACCCAGTGGTTAAAGTTCAGAGTACCAAGATTGGCGCAGAGAGGCGCGGGTTCGATCCCATGCAGCTCTGTGCGCCAGTTTCTGGTCAGAATCGGCAAGAAGGCCGGGCGGTTAAGCAAAAAGCAGAATTGTAGCAGTGAGTTGCGAGTTCGAGACCGCAAAATGCTGTGAATGTTCTGCGAAGTTAAGAATCGGCGACAGGCTATACGGCCTAATAACGCTGAAACCGCTATTATTATATCAGGCTCCTACCAAGGCCATGCCTAAACGGGCTCTTGTCCAGTAGCTTTTGGACTACAGCCTGCATTAAGTCCAACGCTCGTGTCTTGAGAGTGAGAACTTGCAGTGCACTTGTCTTCTTGTCTGCGAGTTGTTTTTTATCGCGGTCCTGGCCATGTAGCCAACATCAACCCTATCGAGGGAAATCAAAACGCCTTTTATTCCATGGCTTTCCATGTTCTGAAATGAAATCCAATGACTAACCAGGCCTGATAAATGAAAAATCAAATTCCATGACCGGTACGCCGGGTACGCACCCTGCAATATCTACTCTACCTAGGTAGAATTAATCACGGTAGTTGGTCCACTTCAAACATTCCGAATGACCAGCGGTGGGCAGTAGCGCGCTAAATGTAGCGGCCGCTACATTTTCAGTAGCGGCCGCTACATTTTCAGTAGCGGCGCTACATTTAAGCAACTGTAGCGGTAGAACCCGCTACATTTAGAGCATGTAGCGGTAGCGGCCGCTACATTTCAAAGTAGCGCTGCCCAGCTCTGCGAATGACGGCAATTTATGATAGGTTTCCGACACAAAATGAATTCTGAGGACACCCCCGGTGCGAAATGAGGATTGAGGTCTGAAAATACTCCTACAATCGCTTCAGAAGTGCAGGAGTAAAAAAAAAAACTTGGGAGCGAGACGTGAAAGACAGATTTATCAAACCATTAGTCCGCACAATCCAACTAAACGAAATGAGTGAGTGTTTATTTCGAGTATATGTTACAATAACTAAAGGATCACCTAACGTGTTTCGGGCCAGTCTATGGGCAAGGGGGAAAATGAAAAGACCCAGTACATTAAATAAAGTGTATTACCGAAACGCAACTCCAGTGTCGTGACAATTCGTGACAAATCGAAATTCCACAATATTCCATTTGAAGTTATGATGCGTTAGATGAACTTTCACGCGCGGTCGGAACTTATGAGGACTGGGCTCATCCACAGCACACTATCGGGGTAAAATGACAAATTCGTATTTGTCAAACCAGGGTTCAGCTGACGTCTTCTCAACATGAGCAGGAACTTCTACTTCAGCAAAGACGAACAGCGAACAAGAATAAGTCAACAATCATAGTTCGTTCCATCACTGTTACAGTAAAGGTACTAAAAAACGCTGAACGTTTACTTGTATCAGATGAAAATTTACAGCACTTCGGATCAGTCCCGCGCGTACTTTCATCCTTGCAACTCGCGTTCAGCTATCTGTTCTCATCGTCTCTATACTATTAAGCTAAATCAAATACAAGACTGCCATAATCTCTTAGCATACACACGTCAGAATTTACCTCTATCGAAAATGTACAAAATACGTAGAGATTTCAGACGAGTAACATCGATACTGTGGCGATGAAAATTCCAACACAGTGACAAACAAGAGCATGTTTGAGGCAACCGTATAAGTACAGGCACACCTACATTAGATACCATGGGAACGATCATTATCGCTTCTAGAGCACATAAAAAATCTTGACGGATAATAAAAAGAAACCAACCCATTTTATCAAGTTCAAATGTTATCGAATTCTCCACATCCAACTGTATAAAGAGGTGCAGTAAAGAATAGAGATAAATGTCATGTAGACGCAATAATACTTTAAACCAAGTTGATCAATCTTTGTACACGAACAAAACCCCCGGCTCCAAGTACGATATATTTTCGCAGGACCCATTTCCGACTCCTAGCCTACGGAAACTATTTTGTACTGATAATCATGCCACAAGAGGATTGCAATGAAATACACTAAATTCTTCCTCGTTGATTAAAAAATTACGATCACGTAGCAACTACCCATAACGTATGAAACATTCAAATGACCATAGCGCCTCATTCTAAATAAAAAAAATGAAAAATTTCCTCTTCATAATTCGAAATTCTGCTACTTTGAAAAGCTGAACATACTTCAATTTATCCTGCCCAAACTCTTGAAGACAAAAAAGGCGAAAAAAGGCTATTTTCAATAAGCAAGTTCCACCGGTAGCGTGAATAGTTTCAAATTCGCAGTCTAGCATGGCTTATTCTTACTCCGACAAAGCTATACACGACATAAAAAATTTAGGAAAAATTTAAGAAATAATATCCGACTTCGAACTAGCATTTGAGCCATCAGAATCAGAATGAGGTTGAAAAATAGTGTTGCACCGCCCATACGTCTGCCCACAATGAACACTTCGACAAGACTTTCCGGTTCCCAAGGAGAGGGATTCCTTTGCGATATTGCGATAGTAAGTTTAGATTAAAAAACCCCAGAATCGAAAATATCTATTTCTATTGGGGTGCTATTAAGGATAAAATGTAATACGAATCCATCAAATGAACTTATTGGTAACATCGACCAAATTCCTTACGCTTATAGTAAGGCTGCATATACCGAAATTGGAAAAAGTCACCGAAGTCAGGGTTATTAGCCAAGAAATTAAAGTAAACAAGATATTACAGATGAGACGGTCACTGAAGACGTCGCGGTAGAGGGGCAGAGCAGGTGACTGCAGATCATGACAACCTTGTTTCTAGTAGGGCCGAGCTCGGGGCCCGCGGTCACTAAGAACAAATTAGTTCATTAATCTGACCGCAAATATAACATTACCCTTAATAAAATGTAAGTAAATAATTTGATGGGATTCTAATATTAACATCAAATAACGACTGTGAAAAAATATTGTTATTTGATTATCAGAACAATTGATCGAATAACGCGAGTGAAGAAATAATAAACAACCGATTTGAATAGCAACTATGTTATTAAACAAATGTAAGGACACGAGTATTAAATGATTTCTATAATAATCGAATGACAAGAGTAAGGAAAAAATTGGCATAGGACGATATGTAGGAAAATAAATTCATAATTCATTTGAAAATAAGTGTTAACTGAAAATACACAAAACACAAATGCTAGATTGAAAATCTGAATAAGTTGCTGATGCTCACCCTCTCATTGGTCCACCACCGTCCCTGTCTCGGTCGCCACCATAACCACGGCCGCCTCTGAATCCACCGCCTCCACCACCTCCACGACCTCCTCGGAAGTCTCCTCCACCACCACCACCACCACGTCCACCTCGGAATCCACCACCACCACCGCCGCGATATCCACCGTCTGTTTAATGCATAATTATATTTGCAATAGTAAGAATCCTTAATTACACCGATATTGCTCTATGCTCATTATCAATTTTATGTTTCGGTAATATAGAAGACTGGTTGTTTAATACATTAAAGAAATAATTTATTTCAATGATATATATCACTAACTGAAACAATGAAATTTAATAGGCATTAATCAAGCGTAACAGATCCATGGGCGTACATTACTTCTAGACACTTCCTAGCTTCTTTCTTCAATAGATTCTCGCACAACTAATCAGGTAGTGAATTATCGAATCCAAAGCTTGTATTATTTAATTATATAAAACTGGAAGAGGCTAACTTCTTTTAGACATTACCAACATCAAGACTTATTCGGGTTATGGTAGCTTTGCTCTCACAAAATGAATTTGCAGTCAAAAACCGATTTTACAGACTTTGTGCTTGTATCAGCTCCAAAGATGCGATTCAAGGTCGGCAAAAAATGCGCCATCAAGCCAACAAGGAATCAGCCAAAAGTCGATAAATAATATTAAAGGCCAATGATAATAATGTTGATTAATAATCAGTTAAAGATTGGTTAAACCATTTTCTGACCTCCGTTCTCACTGTCGCCACCGCCGCCGCCACCTTCAGGCTTGGCAGCATTGCAGCGATTACAATTATTACGCCACGCAAAGTTGTTGTTGCCGCATGACGGTGAGGGACACTTCCAGTCTCCAGCGCGGCCTGCAAAACCACCACCGCCACCGCCTGGCACATTATTTTCATGTAGTCCACCAACATTAACATAAGGAAATGATATAATTTTCCTAGTTTGATACAAATAAAGCTTAGTGAACCTAAATTACCGGTTTCTTTGGGTCTCCCACTACTCACTCCCATGTATTACTATTGATTAAAACTAATCTAAGTGAATAAAATAGAAATGGTAGAAATTTGTCCATGGACGAAATTCATCCAAGTATCAAATGACAAATCTCCTCCTACCTGCTATACAATAAAAATTAACTGTCGTTCTAACAGTGCAAAGGAGTTGAAATAATCCATGGCCCTAAAAATTAGTAATTTATCTCAAAGCCGCAAGATCCTTACCGCCGCCACGTGAGTCACCACCACCGAAGTCTCGGCCTCCTCGCCCGCCACCGCGACGATCGAAGCCGCCGCCGTCCCTGTCATCGTCACGGAAGCGGTCGCGTCCGCGGCCTCGTCCGCGGTCGCCGAAACCGCGACCACTTCGTTCGAACTCGCTCTTTGGCCGCTCCGCTATCGATACCTGTAAACAAAACAAAAAAACATTGAGAATCATTGGATTGAGAATACGAATAACATAGAACTATTCCACACCCGCTGCTTGTAAACTAGGTCTTCGACTGCCAAACTCAATATGTGCATGAGAAAACCGTGTGCGAGTATTTAGAATAACTTACAACACTAAGAAGAATCGCATATACTCGTTCTTGGGCAGGTAAGTTCAAAAGAGGGACAATTTAACTAAAACAAGACTGAACATAATCGATGTCCGTAACGTTACCTACCCATAATTTCAGTGAAAACGAAATTATGCACGAAACAATGGTTGCAACTAGACAAAGAATTCTAACTTTTTACCTAACCCTGCGAGATGTGAGCCATGTTATTCTAACGTATATTTCTTCATCGCGAGCTCAAATTCCCAATCCAACACGATGAGTTCAAACTTCAGAGTTACCCAAGCAAGTTCCACTTACCAGCTAACAAACCGCACGAGTTCAAACTTACTTCCTCATAACACAGTCGTAACTAATGAATAATCACAAACTATCTTTTGAATAATGTTATGTTCATAAGCATTTAATCATCTGATACCTTGAGACTAGGTGAGCGTCAAGCAGTCACGACTCACTTTGATAGGTCGCCCCATAAACTCTTTGTTGTGGAACCAGTCAATAGCAGACTTAGCGGTGTGTGTGTCATCGTAAGTGACGGTACATTCCCCTTTGGACCGCCCGGAGGCTTTGTCACGGTACATCCAGATCTTAGGGCGCTGTGTTTTGCGGTCTGTCTGTTGAATAGAAAAAAAAATTCAGCTTCTTTTATGAATAAAATGAACACTTCTCATTGAAACGTGAAATGAGAACTACACAAGATTTCATGTCAGGAATATTCAAGGTTGTGTTCTGTATGGTCACTTGGTCAGCACATCAGGGTGCCGCACGTGAGCTGAGAGATACAATACGCTTCTCAGTAATTTCAGAACATTGAAATACAAAGTACCAATTATGAAACAATAAGGTAAAAGCGATCCAAGTTTCAAACAAAAAAAAAATTAGATCAGCATAAAAACGAACAAATTAAGATATTATTCAAGGATAAATTAATGCTATAAATATATCCTTCTAACTAATGATGCATTTAATAATTAAATAGATTAACACGGTAAACTTGCCTTAATAACTCCGATTGCTCCGAAGTGCATTTTGACGTCATCTTCTGAAGCATCTTCAGACATGCCAGACACGAAGATTGTGTCTTCCTGAAGAACTTTATCTCCTCCACCTCCACCGAATCCTCCATCACGTCCACCATAGCCTCCATCACGACCACCACCGCCGCGGCCACCACCATATCCACCGCCATCGCGGCCTCCACCACCATCTCTGCCGCCATAACCGCCATCTCTGCTACCACCACGACCTCCACCCCCGTATCCACCGTCTCTCCCACCACCATAGCCACCGCCACCGCTTCCATATCCACTTCCTCCATAGCTGTCACCACCACCTCTGGCTGCCGAAGAAAAACAAAACATATATCAACACAAATAAAGAGCAATACAATAACATAAATTTACCACCTATAAACATCTCTTTCTTGCATATTCATGGAATCACAGTCGCGTGCAACATCACATTGTAAATAACCGTTGCACGTGAATGATATACCATTTTTGAGTTTTGTTGCACCAGTTATTAACCGCGACGATGAGCTGCACCACGACCAACTTACCACCTCACCCACTATATGTACCATTTCATTTATTTTCAATTCAAATTTAAAAAATTTATGCATTCAATTCAGAGCATTTGCTCAAACGACGTACTAATCGTACTTTGAGATTTGAGCTTGTCTCATAGACTATTACCTAAACGTAAATAATCTTCGAACTTTCACGAATAACACCAGCAGCTGGAAGGCTTTACCTTCCAAGTTTATCCAATGTACAACCAACGCAAAAAGTCATTCGCAATTAAAACATTCTTTCCAGGGCGTTTACACGAACCATGTTACATTAAAATTAGAACCCAATTACACAACACGCGCTGTAGTACTGCTTACACAGTTGTATGTGCGCTTGTTCTCGAGTTTTAGAACTTTAAACGAGGCTTCCAATTTTCCAAACCAATACGCAACACCATAAAAATTAACACGGTCTTGATTTCAATACAGATTAGCTTATATAACCGGCCTTTTCTTATTGTCCGTTAAAGAATATTCATCTGAGTGATGTAAAACGCATATTATACTTCCGACTACACCGATCCTCCTTATTGTTAGTAAAATTTTAACTTCCAAGGATTACCATTTTGGAAACGATGACAGAATATAGCCGACTCCTCAAATACCAGTTTTCCTCCTATCAAAAAGACGGTCATTGAATAAATCAATCATTGTACGAAATTCGACAACCCTATATCGTTATCTGCGGCACACACAGAAGTTTTTTACGGCATCCGAATGATAAACACTCAAGTATAACATCGCCCGGAAGAGACACGGTCAATTGCCATTCAAACCAGTAAGGTGTACCAACATTACACGCGTTTAAATTTCATTATGCATAGAAGTGTAACTCTCTTGACAAGGACAAACTTTGATGACTTTAGGCGCCTTTGTGGACTGGCGACTTCAATCCACAATGAGCTGATAATGATTATATATTTATATTGAGTACTTACTTCAGCAATTAACCAAATGAGTACTTACTTCAGCAATTAGCGAACAACAATGTTCCTAATATACAATGAAACAGCGACAGCAATCAAAATTACCGGAAACCTAGTGGAGCTTGGCATGATACGCCTCCAGCCAATAGAGCTCAGGTTTTCCTTCATGGTATGCACATCGAGTTACCAAATATACGCAACATATATATACCAATACATTGAGTAGTGGCTCAACTAACATTTACACATTCATGAATGAAAACTGAAAATTTGTTATATATATAAACACAACGAAGCTCTGACAGTGCCTAAAATAAATTATTGACAATATTAGGTTGCACAAACACGAAGGAAGATGACTTTTTTGTGGATAAGGTAAGAAAACCATACCTTATTTCCTATATAATAGAACCAATAAAATAAATGCTTTCAATAAAGACAATAATACTAGGGATCACTCCATGAGTGGGTCAACAACAGCTCCGCTTCTTTCATTGTTTACCAATTATGAATATTACTTTTCAATGAGTACTCAACACAAATGATCCTGCTTTGGGAGGCAAGTTATTGATGGCTCAAGTAGCAGAATAAAATCTTGAGAATTTCCAAAGTATATACTTTGGAGTTAAATGCGTATATAAAATTGAAAATGAAAAATATCAGGAAGTGGAGCTGTGGTGAAGTTTTTACCTTGAAGCTGCAGTGCTACCTATTGCAGCAATACCCAGGCCTTTCATTGCCTCTGACGCGGTCTCTGTCACACGTCGCAAGTCATAACCAGTCCTCTACGCAACTATTTATCAAGAATCGTAGATTCTCGATACTTAAACATACATGTCCTTACCAATTGACTTGATGAAAATGCTTCACAATTTTCACACAAATATCTAGTGATTCTGTAATTCTCACAAAAATATCATTACGTTAATTTCAGTTGAGCAAAAAATATTGCTACACAAACAAAAAAGGTTTTCCATAAAGGAATTTTAATTCATAGCAAAGAATAAAAACCTCATATTACCCAGGCAGGAAACTTCATTTCATTATGAATAGCTAGCTTCGAATCTCAAAATCTCATGGAACTATTGACTTTGCTCTGAAAAACCACACACAGACTCGAGTCTTGAATAAAAACTTGACTGCACACAGTCGGATGTAATTAGAATCGGAATGAAATCATGTGTAGCAGATGCACTTCTTCCATAAAACCAACCAGTTTCGACCAGCCTAATGAACAACCAAGCCAGTGGAAAGAATCCACTTGCCACAAAAAATTCTCAAATAGTCTTTAATTTACTCAAGTACAGCTTTTCTATTTATTCACCCAAGTACGGCTTTTTTTAAAGTGAGAGACTGTAAATTATTCAAGTATATCAGTTTGAAAGAAGTGATTGTTTAATTGCACAGCCCAGGATATTATTTCACTTGTTATACCTATACATCAGAGGGAATAGATCCATTAAAATTATAGAATACCACGCAGTTACCAAAAACTCGTAGCCTAACCCAAATAATACCATTGAATAAATCAAGAACAAATTGTACTTTAGTTTAATAATAACATCCACTTTGGATGTTTATAATAATACCTTGTATGTTGACATATTATAACAGTAGAAACCAATGACTGGGCGGATTTTCGGCCCAACACATTCAAGAAATGGCAATTGAAGTCAAATATATCTGCTTCATAGTGAATCAACCACATTATACAATTTTTGTTAAAATATATTGAATATATATTAAGTAAGTACGATCTACAGGCATTTTGCTGTAAAGTTTGTTTACCACATGAAAGATGTCAAAGTTTCAAAGTTTTCTCTCTAACATTTCAACACCAATTTACTATCACCAACCCCGAATATTTATGGTTTTACAAAAGCCAGGCATAGTTATCAGACCTTTCATGCTTCTGGCTTAGCATAAATTAAACAATGTAATATGAAGTCATCATCAGGTAGTCGGGCGTCAAAAGTCAGAGTCACTCAGAAAACCGTCAAGAGCCGATGCAGGGAAGAGGCGTGGCGGTGCAACCAATCAACGCAGTTGCAGAAACCCAGCATTCGCAATGCTACGCGTGTCGTAACCTTCAGTAACATGGCCGCATAGAGGCAAAAAGTTTAATTAAACACCAGACCTCTTGCCGCAAAACACCTTACATAATCTATTATATTATTACCAAAGAAATTTCACCAAATGATTTTGCACCAAAATTTAGTATTGCACTATTGTTTTAATATAATTTTGTTTTATTAAACCAGCTCAATTTTGTTTACCATTGTAGTACACAAGCATGAACCTCCTGAATGGGCTAAAGCTGGCCAGAATCTCATATGACCATGGATCAATCATGTTATTATATGTTATACCATTAAACTTGGAAATAAACCATTACGTCAATACTTAAAATTAACAAAACTTAATCATTATACTCCGCGATGGTTCGCACAAAAATTTTGGAAGCAGAGAGTACCAATTATGCCAATGGAGCTGCACCTAATCTAAATAATTTTCATCAAAACCCATAAACTTGCTAGTTTTCAGGCATGCTCCATCCAATACTATGTCTTCCCAAGTGTTTTCAGCTAGGCACCTTGTAAAGATATTCTTTTGCAACAAGTACAAATAACATGACAGATAATGTAAATGGCATTATCATTTCATGCTAAATTTTAGCAATAGCATGGAGATGCCGTAAGCTATTGACACATCTAAAATCATCAACAGAAATCAAACATATCTTGTAATAATTACCATATAAGCAAAGTATTCGGTTATTTTCAGGATTCAAAATGTATTTATGGTCTGTGCTTGGTGTCAAGAATAAAAAGAAGCCCATGAGCAGAGTACTTCACTTTACACAGACACTTTATATGCCAATTAGTGGATATAATGAGACATCAGCCAAATGCTTTGACATTATCAAGAAGCACTATTATAATCTGTACCACAACAGTGAGCTTTTTACAGTCAAGTAACAAGAAATTAAAATCTTTCTTTATTCATTAGAATAACAGATATGGTGATATTGAAATTTCTTGAAGGGATTAAGCTTCCAATATTTGTGAGCAGTAAGAACTTCATACTTTGTGATAGCAGAGAAAATATTGAACTTTAATACAAAAAAGTCATCCAATAGAAAATTGGCAAGCCAAACAGATCATCAGTAAGTAGGTTGTGCAAAGCACTTACCTCTACTGTGACTGCTGGCTACAAGCCTCGGCTGCTGCTCGTGACGACCAGGAGCGAGATGCGGCAATCATGGTACAGCGCAGGGGTCATGCAGCCACTTCCAAAAGAAAGCAACAATGCATCCAACCTTCATTGGAAAACAAGCATTAGACTCAGAGGGCAAGATATATTGTTGCAAGATGACAATTTGGCTAACCAAACAGTGCACCAGTTAGAAAAGTCAGAGCAGTCAGAAAAGTCATCAACAGTCATGTCAAGGTTCTCTGTCATGTCAAGAGGATGACCTGCAGTTCCAGTACCCCCTGTTGAGGCTCTTCTTTGCCACAGCTGCTGAAGTGAGTAAGAAGGATGAGCACTCATTATCCATCACTCACTGTTGAAGCCACCACCATCCTGCGGTGGTGCCCCACCATAACCACCACCCTGCGGCGCAGCAGGGGGTGGGCCACCATAGCTACTTGGTGGGGCTGATGAGGAATAGCTTGGTGGAGGACCACCAGCAGAGGCACCTCCATCACTTGAGCCATAGCTAGGAGGTAGAGAGCTGCCATAGGCAGCACTAGGTGGAGGTGCACTGTAGGCATTGCTCTGAGGAGGCGCAGAAGGAGGCTGCTGGTAGGAGGGAGGAGCGCTGCTGTAGGCAGAAGCACCACTGCTCGAGTCGTAGCTGCCACTTGAATAGCCTGAATAGCTGCTGCTCCCACCTGGACATAGTATTTTTTTTCTTCAGTTTCTCACACTTGGCAAACTTTTTCAAAAACCTGATCCAAGTCTCCAAGTGGATTTAAAACATTTTCTTTTATAGATCCAAGAACGTGAAGAGACCATTTGTTATTTTTTGTAAAATATTCAGTACAGAAATCTTGGATTTAACCAAAAGTCAACAACATTAGCTTCATTATTGTTCATCAAAAAAAGGCTTGCATGTTCCTTGATTCTTGGAAGGTAGTCTACCTTGCGGAGCAGGAGGAGGTCCGCTTGGAGCTGCAGAGCCATAAGGAGGAGGAGAAGAATATTGGGATGCTGGTGGAGCAGTGGTGGCTGAGTAGCTCATGTGAGGTGGTGGAGCTGAGTAGCCTCCATACGCTGGCTGATGAGCACCACCAGAAGGTGGATACGAAGGCATTGGAGCCACTGCCGTAGATGCAGGAGGAGCAGATCCGTAGCCCCCACCATAGCCACCATACGCCCCATATTCTGCAGATCACATGAACTCTTAGCTCAGCACTTGGTGATAGCAGGGTTCTCTTAATTGCTCAACACCACTTCAATTAGTGTTTTTGAGACCAAGATACTATCTATAGTCTATACATACATTCATCAAATTGTGCATTGTTTCAACTTGCATACAACACATGGCAGAGCAGGAATATAGAGTAGCATGGCAGAGGGAGTATAGAAAAAATTCAAACACTGACTGCGTACAATTTAACGCAAATGAACAAAGCAGAGATTAAACAGCTAATTAAAAACCATTAGCACTTGTTTTAGCAGTTTATTTAGTACACAAACAATTCACTGAACAAATTTAATTCGCAAATGTAGATTCATGCCTCATTCAATCATAAAGATATAAAATCAAAAGTTGACCAAATCGGCAAAACTTGACAAATTAAAATATTTAATAGGACACATGGAAATAGTTCTATACACAAATTGCTACAAATTAACATTTGACATGATAATTCAGATTTACCTTTTTGACTACAAAAGGATATCTTATGGATAGGAAATAAAATTACTTCCGTTCTTCCAAGAAAGTCATGAGAACTTTTTCTGAAGACTTAATTTATTTAATATAATTGTATCATTAGAAACAAGATGGAGATTTCAACTGCACTTCCTGAAGCACCAAGTTCCAATAATTATTATTCAAGAAAAATAAAAGAAACATAACCAGCATGCCACTATTGTAAAAACAGCTACGCTTTCAATTAATTAGCATAAGAAGTACTTTTGATAGGTACCTTCATCTCTGGTGGAAAGACCAGCTAAAAGAGAACACATACACATTACTTAAATACAAAGTAGCCTTGCAGTTTCATCTTTAACAACAATATAATATAACTTTTGTCTAAACAAAACTTGTACTTTTCAACAATGTTATAGCAAATTAAAGGTTACAGCAAGTGTATTTAGGGAACAATGCAAACCAGTCCCAAATCCATTTAGGAGTATTATATATATTATATTTTGATAAAATCAAGTCAAATAGAATCAAATCATGTGGACACTATAACGCTTATGATGTCACTTTCCAATTAGGAAATCAAACCACCTCAAATGTGAGCTAAACAAAAATAGCATCACAGATAATACCATTTCAGTTTTCTGCCATCCAAGGGTATTTAGATTCTACTTGCTTACACATAAGAGAATAATAGTTACACTAAAATGACATGTACATTTGTCCTTGCCTTTCTTGTATTCAAGATCCATCAGCATTTAAAGCTTTTGGAACAGTGATAATGGTGTAAAGATCAATTCAAATTAACTCAAATTTTGCTGCTTAGCACAATAGAAAATTAATGTGGAATATTGGGCAGATTTTCAAAATTTTGCTTCCACAAGTGATTTCTAAAAATTTCAGGCAAAAACATATTTTTCTCATAATTGTTATAACTAAATAAGTCATAGAAACCAGTAAAACTGATCACAAACAGGAGTTTTTTTTTTTTTTTTGTCACATTCACCTATGGCTTCTGCCCGATTTTTCCAATTTGATATAACAAAAAATATCCGTACTATTCAATGGATTCATAATCCAATCCGTATCCACATTAAAATGTGTTTCAATGAAAAACACAAGATTAATCACTATTTGCAAGGGCATATACAAATAATATACCTAATGCATAGAAGAAATTTCATTAGCATTGCTTTGAGAAATATAGGTTTCAGGTCACTGAGGTCAGTTTTTCAGTCCATGCAACAGAAAATGCAATAAAAACATTATATCTTGCTTTTATGTAATAATTTATACAGCAATGATGGCATGCAGCATATGCTTGTGCTTCAACTCTGTTCTGGAAATTTGGGCAGAAGCCACCAATTGAGATAAAAATGCCTGTACTCCACTGTGCAGGGAGTAGGTGAATATTGCAAGATCTTTGGCGACAATTCTGCAGCTAAATTTACATCTTCAGAAGATCTTGCCAACAAATTTGGATTGAAATTATTGCATCTAAGATATTTGCCAGTCTTTGGCCAACTAATTAGAAAAAAAGTAAAAGGTTTCAGATAAATTGGATGGATCAGGATGCAGTGGAGCTTGTCCAGAAATCAGTTGCAATGAGTTCCCACCAAAATATACTGCAAAGTACAAAATGTAAACAACAAGTAGTGACTGCATTATCATATGTTCCAATGACAGTTAAGTGAAGACAAATGTCAGTTTTGCAGTACAATCCACAATCATACTGTTTTTAGGGTAAAATTTGTTATTTGGGGTAATAGGTGCATGTGACCTAGTAAATGGCTTTTAATTACCAGCTTAACAAATTGACTCTGAAGTGGTACATATGCGTACCACGAAATGTATTTCTCCAGGATGTAGTAGTACACAATTCAGGTTGCCTAAAATCGGCCAAATCTGGGAACAAAAAAGGCCGATAACTCAATATATACTATGGTTTATTTGTAGGTTCTGCTATAAAAATTCCATTTATTTTCTTTTTGCAGTATATAAAATTTAATTAGGAAGTACTCCTATCATAAATTTTAGCCAGCCAATGCAACTGAGAAAAACTAAATCACAGAATTTGTCTGGAAAAAATGACCGTCTAGCAACCCTGTTAAAAACAGTACAAAAAATGAAATAACAATTTTTAATAGTACAAGATTAAGCAATCGGAGTCAATGTGTTAAATGGGTTTTCATTAAAAATTACCCGGCAACGATTTTGAAAATAGGTAGTTGCAATGCTTTTGGCTTCAAAACCCATAGTATATTGGCAACGCTGCTTGCACCCTCTGGCCTCTGCACCCTGGCCTCAGTGGCTTGTACTTGCTTGCAACCGCACTAAATTTTACCCACTTTATTGGCTCTTGCCTGATTTCATTTAAAACAAATCAAGATAAAGTGCCCATTTTTACATGCATCTCTTTTACATGCATTCTTCAAAAATTGCTCGAAAAATTATAATTTGTACCTGCAACTTTTAAAATTGTAGCTAACATTTCTGATTGGCAGGCATCAAAGGATTGAATTTAAGGCAGTACTGCAGTAAAAATTAAATGGAATTTGATGCATATGATTACCTACCTTAGGTACTTACAAAATTTCAATATAAGAATGATTAAGATTCAAGAATCTAGGTACATTAGGTAGCTACATACATTATCACAAAAAAACACTAGCTAACTACCTACTGAGTTCTATTTTGCCTTTTAGTCACTTTCGGCAGATGCCTGAAATTGAAATTGCCCGTATCGAACAATTGCCTAATAGGCTATAGGCATTATGAATATGAATTACTAGAGCTGGAACTGGAAGGCTAGGCTAGCAGGATTAAAACTTGCCAATTAAGCCTAGTTAGGTACGTCAATATTCAATAATATCATTAGTAGGCTAGGTTACAGGTACAAAGATTTTGCGTAGGTACCATAGTGACAAACCACAGATTTTTTAGAATCAGTTTATTTTTAATTTCCTCATTTACTCACAATTTAAAGCAATTTCTTATGTGTGATAATGCAGGTATCCAGGATACTTTACTGGTCTAGATATAGGACTCGAAAATGAACTTGAGGGAGAGTCTAAAAAACTCTCTGCTTTGCCACTATGGTAGGTACCTTACCGTACCTACGTCAAATGAAGTGCTTGATTGAGGCCAGGGCCGCAGGGGCGGGCGGCAGGGCCTAACACGTAACAGGTCAATTTTTGAAAGTGTCCACATTTTCAAATTTAAAATTGCATCGTACATGGTTAATAAACCAAAAAATGAAATGAGATACCTACTTATGAGTAAATTTAACAAAAAAATAATAAAGTACTCTTACGTTGGCATTAGGAGCTAGGTATTAAAATGCAAAGCAAATTATATACTTACGAGAGTCACTCATTGTAGCGTTTGTCGATCTTATTTAGAAAACTTGATATTTGCAAGTTACACAAGAAATAAACAATTCCTGCAGGGCTGCACCCGCAACAATCAGCAATCGCAGGACTACTACTAAACAAGCAGTGTTGCCACAGGCATCTCTACGTGAATACTAAAGATTCCTGAGATCTAAATTACGAATAGAAGAAAAAGACATGTGTTTTATTAAAATATAGAAAAAAACTTGAATTTCAGGGAAAGATAATCAAATTAAAACGTTATTCGTTTTTGATATGGTAAAAGGTACGCTTTAATCAATATTTTGTTGTACAGCTTGTGAAACGTGTCCAAGTGATAGGCTTATTTTATGTGTACAGTGTAATGTGTACTATAGTGCAATAAGTGAAACGTAGCAATAATAGACCGGATAACTTTATTTCTGGAACCTTTTTTCCTTGTTTTTTATCATAGTCTTAACACAAACTTTCCCACATCTCTTCGCTGGAGTGTCGGACCGGTGTTATAATATCACCTCTACCATACATACTCTACTTCTACTCTGCCATACCACTGGGTGGCCCAGTAATTAAAGTTCAGAGTAGCAAGATTGGAGCAGAGAGGCGCGGGTTCGATCCCAGATCTGTGCGACTGATATATAAATTATATTTTAGAAACAAATATTTATTATTTTCCATTTTTTACGAGAGATTCTAAAATAGCAGGAGTTGTCCAACTTCGGCACAGTAGGGATTTGGAGCATTGTGACACTGAAAAAATCTTCAGACGTCGGGCCTTTGTATCGGCTAGCTGCCACGCGTCACACATTCATTTTAGTATTGATTTTTGGCATAAAGAGGGGGGGGGAAGAGGAGACAGGTACAGGATTCAAGATATTGAGACAAGGTATTTAGAGTGCAGAGATGGTTAGTGTAAGTTTTAGTTGCAAGTAATAGGTTGATGAAATAAAAGAAACAGGGGATGATAAAGGGAAGGGAGAATACTTTCAATTTAAATAGGTTGTTTTGTTGGTTATTGCTAGGTCCCACTTCTTGCACGGTAGTTTTGGACATATGTCATATAAGTCTTATTAGTTCCCAAAACACTAGATAATACTTTGTTTCTCTTTACATTTTATTGTTATTATTATTATTATTATTACCATTCTTTTCCTTTTTATTGCTCGTTTCTTTACACCCTCCTGGCCTCTATTCTCTCCAGCCTCCTCATCTCCCTTATTTTCCATGCACTCTCTAAAAAGCGCTTACCACTATCTGTCATGGCAGTGGTTACCCCTGGTGACAGGCCCACAATCATTGTCATCCATACATCACCTGTTCTTCATACGTCACACAATCACCCCTCTCATCAAGCATCACTCCAATCATTTCCAGTCTTTCACTCTCATACGGTGTTCCTCACACTCCATCATCAAGTGTTCCACCATTTCTCTCTCACCTCTGTCGCACATGAAACAGATATCTTCTCTTCTTTCATTCAACCTGTATGTTCTTGCATTCACACTTAAGGCATTTGCTCTCACACAGAACATTAGATCCCCACCCCTGCTACCATCATAAATGAATTCATACTTTGGCATTTCTTTCATCCTGTATAGCTTGAGGCTATCCTTTCTTTCCATTCCTTGCTTCCGTACTCTCAAACCGCATATTCTCACTCTCTTTTCAATCTCTTTCTTCGCTAACAAACTGATTATAAACAAAATTTTTGGTTCAATCCTCTTGCAAACTTTCTGCGTATTAGTCAATCTGACAATATTTATACTCCAACAATTATGTAAATTAGTGTTGGAGCATGTTGTCGACTTTAATATTGACGAGTTGCGAGTTCGAGACCGCAAAATGCTATGAATGTTCAGCGATGTTAAGAATCGGCGACAGGCCTACGGCCTAGTAAACGCTGAAACCGCTATTATTATCATTTATTATTATTATAATTAGGAGGCAATTATTTTATCTTCAGTCCGCTTTGGAGAGCGTAGTCTTCCCACTCCACCCGTCGACTGTTGGAGTCCCCGCACTCCACTTGCCACACTATTACTGGAGTCTTCACACTCCACCCGCCGCACTGTTGGAGTCTTCGTCTTCTAACCGCCACACTGTTGAGCCGCCTAGCTAAGGCGCGGCATTTGCATGACAGCGAGATAACACCACATCCCATAATTTATGACGAATTATCTTTAAATACAGCATTTACTACAGACTAAGTGAATAGATGCTAGAATGTGTCGGGAGGATAATAACCCGGATGTGTCAGCAAGAAACAGCAATGTTTCGCTACAGAAAGTTAATTTAAAAAAGAATGCGAGAAGCCTGACCGGTGCCCCACAGATCCATTGCCACTTGACAGCCATGTTGGCAGACTACATCAATCTGCCTACTGCTACCAGCTGGGGAAGAACAATAGCTTACTCATGAAAGGTCGGTTTAGATGGCCGCAAATATGTCGCGCCAATCAGTAAGTTGAAAAAATTATATATGTACTCATGGAGCCTTGCATGCGTAACTTAGGAATGCCTGAGTATATAAACCTCGATAAAACTTTAAAGTTTAAACTATCTGTTATCACGCTGTCTTACCATGGGCAGAACAATGTTGTGTAGCATTTTCGAAAAGGAGAAACATGCAAAGAACAGATGCAGCCTCATTTCTGCCCTGCAAAATGAACACTCGCTGTTCTCGATCAGGACAACTCCTCCGCTTTCTCCTCGTCCTCAGCGATGAGGCAAAGGTCACTCATATCAGGACTCGGAAACTCAACCCACCAGATATCTGACGTTGAATCAGCGTTAAATTTAATGTTGGTTAGCTAAAATAACGTTAATTTAACGTTGTTTTAACGTCACCTCTATTATGAAAACTCATTTTATCACTTGAGGCATTACTACTCGATCTTTCGCGTGTCAATACTCTCACTAAATCGTTAATTTTTTTCGGGTTTATCAGGGAACGCATAATATGAATCAATGCTATGAGGACTTATACCTAATAGTGTTTCGCTACACTCATGCCCTTTTTAGTGTTACGTTATTATACATGGACTACAATTACGGATGCTTTATTGTGTTTCGTTACACTCCCATTATGCCTTCTAAAATTATATTGTACTGCGATTTACTTGACATATAATTACTTGTCTATTCGCTAATTTCGTTTATTAGCAACAAACAAAAACGCTGAAATGTGTACATTTAAGTGTCTTAAGTACATTTCAGGAAACTCTCTTTTAATTCATTCCTGATGAAATAATTTTAAGAAAATAATTAGGTAAATTTAATACCCCTTAGTGTCCCAGTGCAAAATTAACTACAAAAATTCCTGAACGCATCTGTAACACGAACAGCACACAACAAAACTTTCTCTATTTAATGTGACCAATGAATCCAACTTGAAGGTCAAAGCGTGCCTAAAGAAATAAATTAAGTAAACAAACTTTAGGATTCAAGGTAAACCGACGTGAGACGCAGTATCATGAGTAAGGAAAAGTTTAGCCGCGCTGTGTCGGATATTACAGCAGGCCGGCATTAGGATGACGCTATAGTCTAGGCTGCGGCGCGGAGTAGCTTTCTCCAGGAACCGGTCGCACGACGTCGCAACTTGTACGTCGTAACTCTATGTATTTATGCGTCACTTCTATGGACGTTACTGAGATGATATGAGTTATGCAAGGAACTTTTTCGTAGATAGAAGAAATTATACATGATATATTTGCCAAAATGTTAAACAGGATAGTGGATAAGTGGATAACTGAAAAACAAAGGTCTGTGTTAATTGCAGGTAAATTATTTATATTAATACAAGTAAATAAGGCTCATCCCTAGTAACCTAGTTAGTTACCAATATGTTTGTACGATTTTATATAAAATAACTAACATAATATTTATTTAACATTAAGATTCTCATAAATATAAACTTGATAATGACAACCAAAAAAAAACATAACATTCAACAGTTCTAACATTTATTCGTTATACTATAGAGAAATATTTAGCGAGACAATTGTCAATTTGTGCCAAAGTGTTTACCAGTGTTCTGTTCTGACTTCTGAAAGAAACATTCATCGTCACCCAGAAGGATGAGCGCAGCTAATGACATGTACGCAAGCTAATGAGAAGGCCGATGCTTTTAAAAAGCATGAAACTTAATTGCCAGTTCCTCTGCAAAGATAATGAGAAGGCGAATGCTCCAGACAAGCACGAAGCTCACAAGCCAGTCGAAGGTAAAAAGCTAATGAGAAAGCAGATGTTTTTCTAAAAACACGAAGCTCACATGCTAGTCTGAAGCACAAATCCAATGAAAAGGCTACTGTTCTATACAAGCGCGAAGCTCAAAGGCCAGTTCCATGTTCAGAAATTATGAGAAGGCAAGTGTTCTCGGCTAGCACGAAGCTCACATGCCCGTTCGGCGCGACAAGCTAATAAGAATGCTGATGTTTTCTAAAAGCACGAAGCAAACATACCAGTTTGACGTGTAAAGCCAATGAGAAGGCTGATCCTCTTTACAAGCAGAAAGCTCACATGCCAGTCCGACGTGTAAAAAGCTACGTAGTTATAGCTACGTCCTACGGCGAGATGAAGTTCACTGAGATCATTAAGGAACACCATGACTTATGTTAGTTGATGATGAAACTCTTTTTGATGAAAATGAGTTAATTGAACATGTTCTTGAGTAATTTGCTGTTTCAGTGTGTTACTCAATTTCAGTGTGATATTTGTGTGTAATTTAGCTCACATGAATCGAGTTTGCGTAAAATTTTTGATAATTTTACGCTTTCGATAATTCTTTTTATTTAATCTCGGAAATATCTCGTATGACTTTTAATGCAAGAGGTCAAGTGATACTTTATCAAAGAATTTCCGCATCAACTTTCCATGGCAAACTCTCTCCTTCAATGCGCAGTTCATAGAAAGCTGGGCATCTTTCTTTCAAGTGACTCTCCTCCTCGGCTGTGATTCTCTGGAAAGCCACATTTTATCACAGATTGCATCGTAGAAACAAGCCGTCGCTTTCAATCAGCACTTGCTTCCTGACTTTGTTACTTTAATAATGCTAGTTTTATTGTTGGATGCAGAATTAGCCTCGGGATTTAACAGTATTGAGGTTCACAACCCCAGAAAGAAATTTAATTTAATACATTTTCTTTTATTTGAAAATAGGATACAATACTATATTCCGGTGCCATAGTTCTATATTTATTGAGCCTCACAGCATGGTTTCAAGAGGTTTTCTCTTTATCTCGACTACGAATAGAAATGTTGAAACTTAATATCATAATGTTATTAATTATAAGAAAATATTATTAGAAATAATATAATATTATTATTAGAAATAATAATATGTATAATAATAATAAAAAAATAAAAGTTAATACGCTTGTGTAGTTACTAAACAGAATATCCAGAATGAATGTAAATTAGACTATTTATTCCATATGTTTTAGGTTTGTTTCATTACATATCACATAAAAATTGCAGTCCGTCAACATAATGGGAACCCGGTACAGAAAAAATACATTCCATTAAATCTTGTGTCAAATATATGCTAGCAAAAATGCCAAATAAATTATTTCGATGTTTTCAAAGCGTAGTACAACATCATACTGTATGCGTTTCAAAAATTTCTTCTTTTTAATCGTCAGTGCGCACGTAACTCGTTCGTGAACAATTTGGCGTGTGATTGGGGTTACATTTTTCCGACTCATACAGATGGTCTAATAAACCCCATGTCCTAAGGCATTGTAAGGCATGATGTGGCGACCCACATAAGGATCTCACATGCCAAGTCCGGAGCAGGGACTCTCTTTGAACAGTACAGTTAGTTCGTCGCGAGCAGCCGTGTGAGGTGTGACGCGCTTGCGACGGCCAGTAGTCTAGTTAGGCTGCAACGTGAGCGCCTTGCGTCAAAACGGTTTTGTTTACCACAAAATGTGTAACCGAGACGGTGTGGTGATAGTCCTCACGGCTAAAATTGAACTTAAGAAAATGAGTTGCGACGTACTTTTTTCTCATTGTATTTTTTCATGTTTGTTTTCGCTTTTCGATTGGAAAACACGAGATTGATGTTATTTATTATTAACCTGTTTTAAAGACGTTATTTGCAGGATGACAGATGACAAATTAAGCTTAAAATTTCTTGTAATTGTATATGTGCTGAGTTAAATTGGCCGATGCAGAATTTATGACGTGCAAAAAGTTGTTCGTAAAAAGGTTCTTCTTGCAAAAGTTGTGAAGCTTGTGTGAGGCTTGGTTGAATGATTCGATCGGCTATAAGCACCAATTGATTAATATTGGCGCATTTAGGAAAGCATAAATCTTCTTTGCATTTCGCTAATAATTTTTCCACTGTTCAACTAAGTTTCAGTATAATCCACGAATACTAGGAAAACGTTTTTCCAATTACATGGACTTTTATTAAATCGTTAGATGAAATTGCTTTTGACAAATTACTCAACGAAAAATTGGCCCCAGTGATGTCTTTACATTGATATCATGGTAGACATTATTAATATTATTTTATTACAGATTTTCATTTTTGGTTAAATATTAACTGCATGTCTCTTTCTGCAGATTTTGCTATGTAGCAAAAATATGGCAAGTTTTAAAGTCTTTAATTCCAAGACTTTAGGCGTTTTTACGATTTGGTTGTGTGTTGCATGTTTTTTCGTATCGACTTCAGGTGAACCTGTCAATAAAAAATCCGACGTTGAAGAAACTTCAGATAATCTTGACATCAATGCCCTTCCTCCAAATGTCGCTCAAATTGTCGAAGCTATCAGCAACGTGCAAAAAAACGTTTCAACAACTCCAAGCAAGAGAAAGCAACCCAACATAAAAGTCGCTACCTCTATCAGGAAGGATGCAACAAATAATTCACAAAATACCTCAAATTTTGACGATATCTCTGAGCTTGAGCTACAGCTCTTCGAGCCGGATGAGTCACTCTTCCCTCCGCGTCTCGAGGAGAAGAACCCAGAAGTTAATAAGACTTACGAAGAATCTACAAGAGCAACTGAGAAACCGTCTTCCCATGAAGAATATACGACGACTTCTGAGAAACCATCTACACATGAAGAACCTCCGACGACCTCTGAGAAACCATCTACGCCAGTTCCTGTAATAAGAGATTCTGACGTTATTAGCAATGTTGTGGCAGAATCTTCCGCTCAAATAGTGGAAACTCAAGCTAGTAACTCAGGTCAAGAAACACCATCTCACGCGGAAAACACGCCTGTCGTTTCTTATGACCCTCCTGCCACGGGCTTGCTCAGCCTTGAAGGATTAAATCAGTGGTGGAACTGGGTTGTATCCATGAGAGATCCAAATATCAGTCCTGATGGCCCGATGAGTTGGCCGACCATCATCGGTCGAGGTGTGACAGGCATTATCAGGCACTATAACCCTCTGCGGAGAATCTTTGGCAGGTCAATGAGAGAGCCGGTTGACACCTTGTCAGTTGATCACCCGTACCCCTATAAAGTCCTCAGGGCAATTGAGCGCAAAGAAACAACAGCTGATACCGAAAGCGTCAATGCCTTTATGCACAAACTCCAGCAAAATAAGGTGGCTCAAAAAATTAGTGAAATGTCTAGAGCAGATACGGCGTCGTCTTCCGATACGAATACGACATCTAGGGCGGAAGCAACAACTGATGTAGCAGAAGATACAACTGCGATTCCATTTTTTAGTATTAGGCAGTTAACGGGTCCCATCAAAAACTTAATTCAAGCCATCCGGAACGCATCTCTAGACTTGGAAACTGCAATATTCTCACCGATTCATGTCGTCCCTGATACGGTACATCAATCTGCTGACATGTTCGATCATCCGGTTAGCGGATTGATAAGAGTACCATTCTACGTCAAGTTGGTCAACATTCTGCTCACATCTTTGTATATTTTGATCCGTGAGTATATGTTAATTCATTTATCATATCAAAATTTTCTAACTACGTAAACTAATGACTTTTTTGCTGAAATGTTTTATATCTTTATTGGCTATCAGGTGATGAATACTTCTATGAATTATTATAACAAATGAATTTCGTTTTAAATGAATATTTATTAGTCAAAAAATTTTCATATGTCATCAAAAACTGATCTTTTATGACTCACAAGAGACGATATTTTTTGCGTCGGAAATTTATCTTAAAGTACAAATATTCGTGCGCCGTCAAAAAACTATTTCTCTCCTTTTCAGCATTGATCTACATTCCATACTCCGGGATCGACAATTTCTTCCTAGCACCTCTGCCTCCTGACATGGACACACTACCGGGAATGCTTCGTTTCTTTGGCCTGCAGGCGATGCTTGGGCCGGACTACCTTTACGACTACGATTACGAAGAAGAACCTGCAGAAGCTGCTGCTGCTTCGCCTCCAGCGCCAGCCGCTGAAGAAGAAGAAGAAGAGGAAGATTATGAAGAAGATGTCCGAAGAAAAGACACAGTTCCGACCAAGATTAAAAAGTTTAAAAAAAGAAGGAGACTTAAAAAGAAATCCAAAGATAATGAAGGAGAGGCTGAGCATGAGAAGCAGAGGGATACTCTCTCCACTAACCTGGATAGTAAAATGCGTCCTCCACCTTCAGAGTATAGTGGATACTCGTCATATTCCTCAATTATGGCTACCGAAGATACAAAACCGGTTTACATTTACCCATCCGGGACTATCGAGTCAAATGATGAATCAGTTGTTAATGCACCATCGTTACAAGATCATTTTGATCAATGGAAACGTAAGGATTGGGCAGAAATGACGTTACGTTCATCGGTTGCTGCGTCTTCACCAGTCTTACTTGGACCAGATACTCCTCCCTTTTTGGATATTGAAAATTCGATGCCTATTCTATTTAGAGGTGAAAACGTAAACATACCCTCTCCAGTTCTAAGTAATCAAAAGCAGCCAATCGTTTCAGCCGTACAGTTGGAGACACCCAAGCTTGCTGCCAATTCTTTCAGCAGTCAAGGATACCAAACTCTGACAACCCCCAGCGGAAGACCGTCTGTCATCTACAATGAAAATCACAAAGCTCTCTTCGCTCATCTTGACGAGGTTCGGGAAAACTACCTTGTCACTCCGAAATACGCTGACTCTCTCGCATCTGAGTTGAGGTCTTCTAGTCTAAACGCCTCTAAAACTCAAACGTCGGTCTCGCTGGCAGCAATAACGACTTCCATACTCAGGCCGGTATACGTCCCGCCCACTACCGTGCGGGCAGCAACCGTGCCCGTAACACGCTACACGTGACCTATTCGTGATACGCCGATGTTTGACGTCCCTGCCCAAACTATTTGTATGTTTCGGGCAAATACAAACCGTGCCATGACACGCATTCCGTAATCCGATATTCGTCGTCACTGTTCCAGCGATCTTTTTGTTAACAACCGTGCCCGTGACAAACGACCCGTGATACGATGTTGGATGTCAGTGTTCTAACAATATTTCAAGCAAGAACTATCCGTTACCATCATTTTATTCATAAAACGATAATGTCGAAAAATTATATTCAAACGACCATTCCTTCGCACGTCTATGTTCGCCTGTCAATTGAACCATCTGACGTAAAAAGTATCAAGTCAAAAGGATTAAATTGAGTGCGAGTTCAGTTGCCAACTTACTGAAGTAAATATTTATTACCTAAATAATTTTTTTATTGCACCAGTATAGTTTTTGAAATCACTCAAGACTTTTGAAGCAAAGATAAATTATAACTGGGGAAGGATTGCTGCAATCAAAAACTTCCCCTCGAAAAATAATAAAATTCGTAGCTTCACAATTTCCGCAGGATGTATACTTTATGTTTAGGAGTTTAGAAATAGATCAGAGAAAAAGGTCTTCCTAGTATCAAGAATACCATAGAGTTTAAATTTGTTGGCCGTGAAACGAATATAGTCGCAATTTATTCGGGGGCATCAGCGTGGTTTCCATGTTAATATTCAATTACCTTCGCGCTTCTTTTGGACAATGATTAGGCCCAAGCAACAACGTCTTAACCGTCTACCTGCGTTAAGCGATTGGCGGAATCTTTTAATTTATTTCATTTGTTCGACGATCGTCAATCCTCCTTGTGGTTGTGTTTTTGCACTTGATGTGGTATTTCGGAGCCAGTGTGGCTTGCATGCACTCTAAATTCGATCATTTAAACTCAAAGATTATTATCAAGCCTTCATATTAAACGAGTTTGAAAATAAGCGCTGCATTTGAAAGAAGCTGTTCTGAATAAACTAGCGTTTCCCTTCAACATTAGAGAATGCTGTATTAATTGTCCTTGAAATTAATAGGTTTTTATATGAATATATTTTATGGGATGACCAGAAAATAATATAACTAATATCATCTGAGAGATTATGATCGAAAGACGTTTAATAGAATTTTTCAATTAGAATCTATATCTATTTTTTTTAGGCGAATCTCATCTAAGAATATTTTACATGTTTCCTCATGTTTGAATAGAAAATGTATATAGCTGTCATTGCGAAAATTTTCAGTGGTCCAAAACAGTAGGATGGCTAGCCAGGCTAGTTATTGGTAACTATAGATCCATACGTACTGAAATTGAGACGAAAGAAGTAGTTTCTCCCAAGCCGCTTCTGCAGAGTTTATATTCACAGTTGGGTAAATATTGGCGAAGGTGCTGATATCGACATTCCTTCTCTATGAGTCTCTGCATGGTGAGTGTATAATATAATTGTATTTAATTAAAAGTTTCATGCATTGGCGTCTTGTTTAGTTTGACTTATAAATAATTTAGGTATTATAATAGATATTTATGCCACTGACCTGACTCCCGTCTCCCTCGGCCTCAGACAGTCGCCAGTCAGGCTGAGCAGCCTGAGCTCAGTGAGCTGTGATTCGTAAGTGAATCTTAGATAGTGTCCATCATAGTTCATAGGGATATTTGAAGAATGTCATGAGCTTTGATTCAGACAGCAGGCCTCAGTACGGCAGTACCCAGTAACATCATCATGAAAGGGGGTAGGCCTAACTTAGTCTTAGACTATTTTTTTTTTGAAATGCCATTTTTTTACTAGCTAAATTAAACTTAGATTGAAATGTGCAAAATACAGGTCTATAGTCTCTATACTCTTACTCTAGGTTCACTCACCACAAATTGCTGGCTCCTGCCTCTCATAGTTTCGATGTAATTTTGAAAAAAAGTGATGGGGTAAACAGCCAGGGCGCAGAGGGTGGATGCACTATGCAGCGTCGCCAATATATGGGTTTTTAAGCCCTGAGCGTTGCCGGGTAATTTCAAGATGTGTCGCCAGGTAATTTTTAATGAAAAGCCATTTATGCTGAGTAGCGAAAAACTATTTACAAGTTTCAAATAGTTTTTGAGTTTTGGGGTTTTTTGTTAAAAAAACGAAAAGTGGTCAAAGTTACCCCGCCGGTCAAAGTAACCCCATTTTACGGTAGTGTTCTAATTCCAAGCTGTGTTGTATTCCTATACAGCTCACACAGCGATCATAATTCAAACACAAGAGGGTCGGAATTATGAAATAGTAGAGTTTGAAGCTCGCCCAGAATTAGTCGAACAAAATGCCGAATTTAGTCACACACAGCTTTGTAGTATATCAATTTGGTAGGTTTGCATTCTAAAGGCTTTTAAATAATTATGACATTTTGTGACATTTCATTGTTACTGGCGCGTAGTGCGGTGTTTTGAGAGTGACGTAAAGCAAACAGAACTTGAGTTGCGCATATGGTGATTTTTTTCTAGCCACTCATTTCTTGCTACCAGGATGGAATTCTAAAATTTACAGTTCATATATTATTCCCGATACACCTAGACCAGTTTTTCGATACAACATTATTTGAGGCAGAAAAATAAACTTCTTATAGGCATAAACACGTATAGGTAAAGGTATAAAAAGTTTCTATAAAGTAATCACTTAACTTGGAAATGTTGCGTGTCTGCAGGACAGCTTGCACTCAACAATTAAAATTATAAAAAGTACTAGTTCGTTAAAGATTTGTCTCTTAATGTGACAGCAAAGAACTTTTCCTTGATGCACACAATAAACACGCAATTCATGGGAGCAAGACNTTTTACGGTACCGCGTTTGCCTTATCTCAGACTGGGTGGTAAAATCAATTATATTTTTTGGTAAAATAACTCCAGGTTTTGGTGCATTGTAGTAGAACTCTTCTAGTTACATATGCAAATGAAAAATTTTAGGAAAGTGTCATAGTTTGCAAATGGGGGCGCCACTCCCAAATGGGGGAACTTAGACCACCTAATTTCAGCCGTGATGGGGTAATATTGACCGGCTTGAAAAATTGAGTTAAAATTACCATATATAAGACTGTAGAGTCAGAAACATAAAGAAAAAACATTAATAGGTGTATCAAACATAAAATATATATGGTAATTTTAAATTAATTTCCAAGCCGGTCTATGTTGACCTGTCAGGGCTGACATTAGGTGGTCTAAGTTCCTCCCATTCGGGGGCTGCGCCTCCCATTTGCAAACTATGACACTTTCCTCAAATTTGTCATTTGCATATGTAACTAGAAGAGTTCTACTATAATGCACCAAAACCTGGAGTTGTTTTACCAAAAGATGAAAAAATTGAGTGGGTTCTACGACAGGCTTTAAATAATAGCTCTTTTTCGTGGGTCGCATTTATCATTTTTTAACCTAATAGATATGCATAATTTCTTTATCTTTCCATTGTGTTACCACTGTTACGTAGCCTCAGTATTAGGCCTTTAATGCCCATTGACAAAATTTTTCTATGTTGAATAGTTTTTGAGTTTTGGGGATTTTTGTTAAAAAAACTAAAATTAGTCTAAGTTACCCTGGGAGTCTAAGTTACCCCCTTTTACGGTAGTCAATAGACTTGCTCTTGATTACAATTTTGTCAACAAACTGTTGATAGGTGGTTTTTGAGGTGGATCAGATGATGCTCACTGAGATCAGAGTTTGATAGTGGCAATGACAAACAATGGAGGGTAAACGCACCATATTCTGACATTGTGGGTAATTCTGATACTTCTCAACTTTTTCCTTTATATTAAGCTTTGTCTTAGTTCCATGCATGTGTAGATGGTTGAAATAGTGACATCATACTATTGCGCGCCAGATTTCCGCAAAACACTGGGTCTGGCGGGAAAATGTTAAGATCCTCAGAGGACAAGTCCACGTCACCCAGTGAGAGCATCGAAAAACATGTCAAAGTTGATAGTTGACCTTGCTCTACCAAATAGTGATGAACTGTTTGTGTAGAAAGAATATTATGGTTTGAGACTTTTATACAAGTCTGTAAATATATTAGGAATTCTTTAAGTATACTTGTATTTGCTGATTTTAAGTGGTAAATAAATTAATAAATGATCAAGTTAAGAGACTGTTTTAGACACATAAAAACTAATTCCCATACAGCTCGGAATTAGACACACACAACACGTTCCAAGCTGTGTACAACACAGCTCAGAACATAAATGGCTTTTCATGACATAGATTTGGAATTCACGGCTTGAAAAAGTGTAATCACAGCTTGAATGGAAGAAATGGAATCACAGCTGGCAAATCCATAAAACCACAGCTTGAAAAATTCAGTCATTATCCAGTCTAAAATATTCAGAACATTATCCAGTCTAAAATATTACATAAAAAATGGCAGAAATGATCATTTTAGTGGTGAGTTTTGAATATTGTGGGCAGTATGTGATTTTGCTTAATTTTTTTTTTCAAAAGGAAGTACAGGCAATAGCCAAACTGGTGAAGGTAACTTAAACTGCAAGCATGGGCATTTTTGTCATGTATTTGGGTTACTTTTGCCTGAATTGCCAATTTTAACAAAAACCAACTTTGAATGATATATGCAAATAAGCTGCAAATATTCCACTGTCTTTTAGGAAACTTTTCACCAGAAAAAAAAAAACAGGGATTCATATAGTCAAAATCAGGCTTGAAATGTGTATAATTTCCATGCAGTGACATGAGCTCTAACTTTTTTTGAGCTGCGAGAGCACTAGCTTCCTGCTTTGGAATGTCATGGCTGAATTTACATTTTTGTTAACTATTAGATAGGAGATTACCAATATTGTCATTGGTGCACATGTTTATTTATTATTCCTCTCAAATCGCTCTGGACTCTGAGACTTTGCCTTAAAATTCTACCTTCTGTTGGTAGGATAAAATAAATCCCTTGGCATATGTATAAATCATAAATGGCCTTCTATTGAGAGGTGTAATAGGTAGTATTTGATGTTTGCCTCAGTTGTAGTCAAGTGCCAGACAGTAAAGAAAGATCTTCCAGGTTGAAATATAACAGCCTCTCTCAAGCTTGCCATCAAGCTATCTTGACCATAAAATGGCATTCATTTGTAATTTCTGGTCCAATTAGTATCAAACAATTGATCAAGTTCAGATCAATCATTTGGATTGGTACCCAGCAGCTATTTGAACACTGGACATGATTGGTTGCCATCACCTCAGGATTGGAATATATTTACATTTTGAGCCACAAACAGAGCTTTCCTGCTGTTTTTGGAGCTGCAAGATTCCCATTGATGATTTACCTCCTTTCCAATTGTTGACTAAGTGCATGATGGGGCCGCTAAATTCTGTATGTATTAGGAACTTGTTACTTTGAGCTGCAAGATTTCATTAAGTAGGAAAGTTCCAATCCTGCATCAGCTGCATCTATTATTTTGTTCAGTAGTCTTATCAACCATTTTATTTAAGCCATTTTGTTCATTTATTGCATAAATGGAGGAGCTTAGTTGAAAACCATCATCTGCCACAATTGTGTTACAATATCTTGCAGGCAATAAATTTGGCATCCTTAACTTGTGTGGTGCTTCAAGGAGAATGACATTTGCTTGATCTAAATTTTATGTTGAACAACTTATTCTCTAAGTTCATCATACAATCACTAAAATTGTCCACAGTTCATAGCAAAACTTGACTAATTACCAAAAACTAGGTTGTAAAGGTTGGTATGCTTTGGAAGACATAGTAATCCTGTTCACTTACCTTAACCGCATGATGAGTAGCATCCAAGTTAAGTTTTAGCTGTCATTTTATTTACCTTGAGATGAATCAGTGAATGTATCAAGTTGTGCTTTATAATGAAACTTAAATTCAAAATAATGATTTCCTTTAATTCCAGGTGCATCTTATCCAGCAAGATGTCTATGTCCGGTGCTGAATACCTTGCTTCAATTTATGGAACCGAGAAGGACAAAGTCAATTGTTCCTTCTACATCAAAACTGGAGCCTGCAGGCACAGTGAAAGATGTTCTCGCAAGCACAACAAGCCTCAGTACAGGTCAGTTCAATATGGTGAATGATAAGAAATGTTTGAATTTTCACTTATGGAAATAATTGATATTTATGTTGATTTTCACATTATTTTGCACCTTCTCCAATGGCCCATATTCATTTCTGTTGTGAAAAATTATTTGTACTCTGCAGCTTCCATTTCCATTGCAACTACCCTCGGTTTTAATTACTACTTGGTTTTAATCAGTTGGTTTTCTAACCAAGGAAACCATTCAACCAACCTAACCTAGGTTTCCTAACCAAGGTAATGATCAAATTATCTTGGTTAGGAAACCTTATCTAATAAGCTGCCTATTTTATCTGTTGAATACATTAAATGCATTGTGTGAAAATTTACAGCAAACTGAGTGAGTGTTCAAACAATTAACTGTGGTGAGTTGTATGGTCTGGTGTTGATAGTCAGAAGTTTAAATCTAATCTGGTTGGAATGAACATTTACAGGCTATTGCCTAATCTTAGACATGCAGCAGACTAGGAAAAGTTTATTTTTCCAGCTACCGTATATCGTGAATGATATAGCGAATTTTCAATTTTCGAAATAAGGTTCATTATATTACGGTATATTTACTCATGAAATGGAATATTGTTTGAACCAACTTCACATCAGTTAGGACATATTAATCAACGGTGATAGTCTCCTGTCAGGTTTTTGATACGTTTGAATTAAATCTCAGTACACATCATACCTGTGTATTATTGGTTTCTCATTTCCAGTTTTGAATTTTGTATATTTATCTGTCGATTAACTCAACTAATAGTGAGTTCGTGTTTGCAGCCAAACGATTGTGATGGGCAATATGTACGTGAGCCAGCAGAATTCAGCCAAGTCTGCAGACGGGTCCCATCTTGGTGATATGAGCGACCATAAGATCCAGGAGCAGTTTGAGTACTTCTTTGAAGATGTCTTCTTTGAGTGTGAAGAGAAGTACGGCGAGATCGAAGAGATGTGCGTGTGTGATAACCAGTGCGATCATCTTCGTGGCAATGTCTACATCAAGTTCCGCAAGGAGGAGGATGCTGTCAAGGCCGCTGAGGATCTTAACAACCGCTGGTACATGTACAGGCCTATATATGTTGACCTCTGTCCAGTGGCGGACTTTAGAGAAGCTTCATGTCGCCAGTTTGAAATGGGCCAGTGTGGCAAGGGTGGTTTCTGTAACTTTTGGCACGTGAAGCCGATCTCACACCACTTGAAGACTCTGTTGGCGCGTAGCTCGCGTTCCCGCTACAAGGGAAGGTCCCGGTCCCGTTCCCGCTCCCGTGACAAGAGGCGCCGAAGCAAGTCGAGATCCCGCGACAGGGATCGGCGAGAAAGGAAAGGCCGCTACTGATACCTAGGCTGTACTTGAACGCTCTATCTGTCATCTTTACACGTTCGTTCTACCTAACTGGTTCAATGTTCATGTATGCTCCTACGATCATCAGGGTTAGTCCATATTTTTTAATTTGTAATGATTAATTTTTAAATTGCTGCGTTAATCTTGGGGGAACTCTTGAGAAGATGAGACTGGAGCAGGACGAGACGGTTTGGCCCAATTTTTTCCAGTCGGTAGATGACATCAATTGGGCCATTTCTCAATAAAACCAGACACAATGCGTGGAAGTTTTGCCTAGTAGCCTAGAAGTTAATCCTGATTGGTGTCAACCGAATAAACTTCTAAAACAACCGGACGATTGATTTACCCTATAAAAATTCATTAGGTATCCATCTAGCTGTTTTCAATCAAAAACGGAAGCTCATGCTACCGTGTCAAGGACGAAAATCTCACAATGGTGACATGAATTTCGGGAAATATATATCATCAGGTCCTGCATTTTGATATTTTTTGGAACCCTAATCAATTTCTGAGCTTAGCCTAGTGCAGTGGTTCCCAAAGTGGGCGATATCGCCCCCCTAGGGGCGGTGGAAAGATTTTGGGGGGCGATAAGGAAGAAGAGGTCGGTAGGGGGGCGATATGGGGGGCGGCTGTCCAAAGTCAATGTCAGAAGTTCAAACGATTGTTAGACGATTTGTACACAACACGTGCAGCACATGACTCCCAGCGATGGTTTTTTTCTGTTTTTTTTTAACCTAGCTCTCCTGGGTTTACGTCTCGGACAAATTAACGGCCGGACTCGAGGCCGGTCTCACGGCAATTTTCAAATTCAATGATCAAGGAATGTCTCTCAAACTAATGAACTTAACTCGATGAAACTTGGTACACGTATTCATTAGGACCTAACGGTAATGTTTTGCTCGTAAAAATTGTTTGAATTTTGCCATCGTTCGTTTTTGCCATAGTTATATGCCAATACGGGCCGAAATTCACAGTGATCAAGTAATTTCTTCCAAACTACTGAGCAGATTCGAACGAAATTTTGAATTTACAGTCCTAACTAAAAATTTTTCGATTGTGCCTTCGTTCGCGAGTTTTTTTTCATTTCACCTTCATTCGTGATTTAAACAGCAATTCGTGCTTAAATTCGCAGTAATCAAGAATTTTTTTCCAAACTACTGAACAGATTATTATTAACTCGCAAACGAAAGCAAAATGGAAAAATTGTCACGAGCTTAACATCACTGTTGAGAGGTTATGTGTTTTTATACAAAGTTTCGTTGAAATCTGTTCTGTATATTAGAAGAAATTTCTTGATCGCCGCGAATTTAAGCAACAAATTACCCGGCGATACGGGCCGAATATAAGGAAGTGTGAAATCAAGTATGACGGTGAAATAAAAAAAAAACTCGCAAACGAAGGTAAAATCGAAAAAATTATAATCTAAAAAATCACCGCTTGGTAGTTAGGAATGTATATTCAAAATTTCGTTCAAATCTGTTCAATAGTTTGAAGAAATTCTTTGATCAATGCGAATTTTGGCCTGTTTCGCAATATACGCGCAACTCACGAATGAAGGTGAAATTTAAATAAATTTACTAGCTAAACATCACCGTTAGGTTCTGATGAATGCGTGTTCCAAGTTTCATAGAGCTGCGTTCATTTGTTTGGGAGATATTTTCTTGATAATTGAATTAGGAGATTGGTCGTGAGACCGGCCACGAGTCCGGCCATAAATTCGCCCGCGACGTCCTTGGCTTCTAGTGCTGAAACAGTTAAAACATCTGAAAAACATATTGGTTCACTAAATGGGGTTCTATTTGTAAAATACACATTTGTGTTCAATCTTCATCTTTTAAAATTTCAGCGTACTAAATTTCAAGAGAGTGGCGTATGTCTGTGGGGGGCGCTAGAAATTCATTAGGGGGCCAAAGGGGGCGCCAGCCTGAAAAAGTTTGGGAACCACTGGCCTAGTGTCACCCACGAGTCAACGTTGTTAGATTTGAACTCAATAACAACTCTGAACTAAACCCTTGCTGCCGTGCAAGAATAGCAATAGAAGACGTCTTGTCAATGTTATTGAGGATACTAGAAAAAACCTATTAATATCGATTTATTTACAACTCAGTGACTTGAACTTTTTTCTTTCTCTGCTTTATGGGCTTCATAGAGTTATCTTCTTTTTTCATTATAGCTCTTTCTTTTTCTACTTTCTTAGCCATTTTCTGTGCCTTCTTCATCACTCCTTTGACCATATCTGAGAACGATTGTGACTCTTCATCTTTATTTTTAGACTGAGTCTTTGAAGTACACAACTTCAGCAGATTCTTGTGTCGGGCTAAAGTGGCTCCTTCCAATTTGCAAGCTTCGAAATCCTGGAAAAATAGCAAAAATAAAATGAAACGCTGGAGGTACCCAATAAATCAGCCCACATGGGGGCTATTGTTGAATGCAAAAATATCGATCTTTTCTAAAGAATATGATGTATCTTACAGGATTTGAAAAACACATTTATACAGCAAAAACAATAACCTTTTAATGGCGTTGGAAATTTAATAAATGTCAATGAGCACAATATTTAGATGTAAACACAAGTTGATCGAAAAAGACATGTCTGGGGGTCTTGTAGTTGTGTAAATATTTATGAAGTAATAAGTTAATCCTGTGTACCTAAGATTACGCTTGATGGAGTCAAAAAGTCCCAGTGGATGAACAGTGCAGTTAAGGCTGAGCTAAAGACCAAGAAAGAAGCCTACAAGCTTTATTTACGAACTCGCAGCGATTCTGATAATAACCTGCATGCAATAGCTCGAAATCAAGTTAAAAAAGTTTGTCGCACTGCAGTGAAAAACTTCGAAAAAAATATTGCTAAAAATGCAAAAAGAATCCGAAAGCCTTCTTTTTGTACGCTAATTCGAAGTGGAAGTCAAAGGACGGTATTTCTGATTTGAAAGTTGACCAACGAAAGATTTCCTCTGATGAGGGCAAGGCTAACGTTCTTAATCAGTTCTTCAGCAGTGTATTCACAGATGAGGACTTGATCAGTATTCCAGATATTGAGGAGCGCCCAGTCAGCTCGAAGTTAACAGGTTTTGAAATACACGAAGAAGAGGTTCTCAAGCGCCTGGTAGCTCTAAATCCCAACAACTCACGTGGACCAGACGGCTTCCATCCAAAATAGCTCAATTCTAGCAACCGTTCTGGCCGGCCCATTGACAGTATTCTTTCAAAAAACCTTGAACGAAGAAACTTTGCCGTCGACGACTGGAAAGAAGCTCAAGTAACACCATTGTTCAAAAAATGTGACAAGAGCAGCCCCGGCAACTATCGCCCTGTCAGTCTGACAAGTGTTGTTTGTAAGCTAATGGAATCTGTTGTGAGGGATAGGATTATCGATCACTTGACTGCTCACCATCTTCTATCAGATAGCCAACATGGCTTTATTGCCGAAAGATCCTGCACCACTAACTTATTATCTACGTTGAACGAGTGGTCTCGCCTGCTGGACGAAAGGGAACCAGTGGATGCATTGTACCTCGATTTTGCCAAGGCATTTGACAATGTTCCGCATGAGCGGCTGTTACGTAAAGCGAAGTCTTTGGGAATTGAAGGAAACGTACTACAATGGATCAGAGATTTTCCAGTAGGTAGACGACAACGTGTCAGTATTAACGGAACCGTGTCAGACTGGGCATCAGTGCGCAGTGGCGTGCCACAAGGAAGAGTTATTGGGCCTATTTTGTTCGTTGCTTTTATAAACGATCTGCCAGAAGTAGTGTCCAGCGTGTGCTCCATGTATGCCGACGACACAAAAGTTAATAATACAGTGAATGATGCGTCAAATAAGGCGCAATTGCAAGATGATCTTGACAGCTTAGTTAACTGGGCTGATACGCGGCAGCAAATTTTCTAAGCATGTTGAAACGCAAGCTAACACATCCAACAAACTTCTTGGACTAATCAGACGCTCATACGAATTCCTAGATGCAGAAGCGATGAAGCAGTTGTTAGTTGCTGTCGTGCGCCCGAATCTAGAGTTTGGAACCGTTGTGTGGTCACCGAGATTTTTAAAGGACAGAAATTTAATAGAGAATGTTCAAAGACGTGCAACAAGGATAATTCCAGGCTTGAAGGGCAAGTCCTATGAAGATAGATTGAAGATTATGAAGCTTACAAGCCTCAGTTATCGACGACTGCGTGGGGACCTCATTGAAGTATACAAGTATACTCATGGTTTATACAAGGTCCCCGAAGAATTACTAGAATTTGAAACAAGAACCAACACCAGGGGCCATGGCTATAAACTAAAAAAACTGCGCTGCAACTTCTCCACGCGACAAAATTTCTCCTCGCTTCGAATCACCGACATGTGGAACAGCTTCCCCGATGACATCGTTGGCGCTCCAAGTATGAACGGGTTCAACAACAGACTAGATAAAGCTATGGAAAAATATATGTTCAGATTTGAAATGCCTAGCACTATATCGAACCCGGTGGAAATCTAGTATACTTCAAACTATCGTCAGTCATGAAAAGATCCGGTCAAATGACACGATTTTAGATCTTCTGTGAACAAGGCACGAAAAGGAAAAGAATCGGCGACAGGCCACGTCAGGCCTACACTGCAGCTCCGAGATCACTATGTTATGTTATGTTAATAATTATGCAAGTAAAGCTCGTTCGTATGATGGTGGGCAGGAATCTCGAACTGAAATTGTTATGGCTGTCGTCATTGAAGGGATGAAGATAAATTGTACCAGGATATTTTCCCTAAGTGAAACAGAAGTTCAAAGTTTAAATAAATCACTACGCCATTCAGCGTTCTGTATATTAGCAATCCAACAATTTTTTCCATTTAGTAGTCATAGTATAATGGTTTACTAGCGCTTCAGCTATCAAGCTATTTCGCACCGAAGGTCAAATTATAACATCGCCAGCAAGGCGGGAGGTCTCAATTATTCAAAGTCTCAGATTAATCTTCACCCACAAGGGGCGGATGGTCTCAATTGTAAGCCCGCTGAAGCTGGCTCGAAAGAAGCAGCGTTAGCATCTCAAAAAGTGACAAGGAGGGACAGGTGAAAAGCAACAGAAACGAAGACAATCAAAGAAGACTTTGCTTACACGGGACGTCAGCCGCCCGCACGAGGGAGAAACAGAGAAGGGAAATGTAAGGAACCCTACCTACATAATAACTTAATGTAAGGAATCCTACCTACATAATGAATCAACCCACAACTGAGACTTGCAGTGAGACACCGGGAACTCAGCGGTGGGGCGCTCAGGAACAATCCCCCTAGGAACGCAAAATCCCATAGGACTTCTGACGAGCACAGACATGCATCAGAAGTCCCCCCTGAGGGGTTTTTCCATTTATGTGTCAAGTTAAATTACGAATTGTTGCTAATTTGTTGCTCTGCTGGCAAGCAACATCAGAATCATTTTAGTATCTGTTTAACAACATGACACTAAATTTTACACAAGAACTTACAATATTTGAGCCTAAGTGATGGTCACTGTTGAGACCCAGTGTTGATATCTCGACGGTGGCATTCCCGCAGGTAGTGATGATAGTGTTGCTCACGGCCGGCCCTCCCACCTTGCTCTCGTACGGCTTAGGGGTTACGTCATCGTCACTGTCACTTTCATCTGAGAATTCATCATTGATCTCCTTGGTTTGTTGTTCGTGCTCAGCAAGAATTTTGTTAAAATTCTTCCGCCTCTAATAAAATGAAATGAAAAGAGCTTTAATTATTAGCATACACTTCAGCTTTATCATTTTCTTCTATAATAAATATACATTTCAATATTATAAGGCAATTTAAGTATTATTTAGGGATAAAAGAATTGAAGAAGTACCTACATTCATACATTTTTGAAAGAAATATTTTAAAATATTGGGCAAAATAATATTGTGAATGTTTTAGAAAAAGCAAATATTGCAATTGTCTAATTGCATAGGCATATTCAACAAGTCAGATTGAATACAACTAATGATTGATACAAGGATCTAATATGAAGAATACCTCTGCACGAGCAAGCAGTAATTTCTTCTTGATTCTGGCTTCGTTGAATTTTTTGGCACGCTCTTGCCGCTCTTTCTTTCTCTTCTGGAATCCAGTTACATAGTCTCTGAAAAGAAAAAATCTGGATCACACAATTGCTCAAAATTAAAAATTTGAATTTTTCAATCACAGAAACTTTTTAAAACAGCAACTATTAAAATACATAACATATCCAAGTAATGGATTTGATCAAATTAATATTAGTTATACAAAGAAGTGTTAAGTGTGTAAACAAATTTTTTTATTCAAGATTGAAAAACCTTTTACCCAAACATTTTTGCTCCAGAATAATGTAATTTCAGTAAATTTGACTTTGTGGCTGCAGAGTCTTGTACTTGATTTGCTTGAATATTTTTTACAATAGGTAAGGTATCAATCGAATAAAATTTTCAAATTCCACAAATGAGTACCATGCTCCCACCAAAAATTCTAATGGCTAAGAGATTTTTATTGAATCTTTAGGGTCAAGGTAATCTAACACAACTTGCTTACTTACAGCAAGGAAGAAGTGCAACTCTAATGAAATGGCAAAATATTATATCAATACAATAAATTGCCCTTATACTTAACAAAAAAATATTCCACTTACAATTCATGTGGAAAATTAAAGGCTGGTCTTAAAACCAATGCTGGACAAATGACTTTGCAGATGAAAAATAGTAAATATTAGCTTTGAAAAAAAAATTATATATGGCTCAAGAATATAATCTACTTTAAACTTTATTGACTTTTGTTTTCACTTCTTCTAAATCAATCAAGTCATAGCTAACCAGTCATGACTGAAAGCAAGTAAGGAAAATAACTACTTTTTGAGGCTCTGAGCAACAATTAGTTTTTCTAGTCAGTTTTGGGGGCTGCAAGATGATCTTAGATAATTCATCTCAGTAGAACAATTATATATTTTTTATAAAACCAGCCTAATTGAGCTGCAAAATTCTATTCTAATCTGGGACTAATGATTTTGAAGCATCAAGTTTCAGTAATAAGAAGAAATTTTCTGATATTGGTAAGAAGAACGGATATTTTCCACACTTGCATGTCTTGTTTTCTTTGGCTATGGCTAAAATTCCCTTACCAAACTAAGAATAATACCATTTTTAAAAATGAAATTGATACATAAATTCAATGATTATTCATTTTTATAATTAAAAAACATCAATTATTCTATGTTAATTGCAGAATGCAGATTTGGAGGTTTCATTAGTTTTACCTGTATTGAAGTAATACAACCCACACTGGAATGACAGTCAAAATCCACTCATGAATGAAATGAAAATGCCTGTGCATGAGATAATTAAGCAATTAGCATAATAATCACATGCAGATGGCATTCTTAATGCCTTTCAAATGACTATGTACCTATGTAATCGAGGAGCGGGGGTGGACAAATATAGGAGCAAAACGGGCATGTGCATCAATTTGAGTGTGCCAACAGCAGCAGCAGTGCGCTTGGCAAGCTCCTGTTGTAGCGGGATGACCAGACGAGCGTGCTGCAGCTGCTGCTGGCCCACTCATATTGGAACGCTTGGCAGTCCCTCTTCCCCACGGGCCCCACCCACTCGGCCACTCCTCAAGTGGATAGCGCACCCTGGCCGTCCTGGTGGGTCTAAATGACCAATTATTTCCTAGAATTCCACCATGCATACAAATAATTTAATTCATTTCAATTGTTAATTTATAATTTCTTCTATAAAAAGTAAGAAAACTGGAACATTTTGCCCCATTTCAAAAATCACCCACATATGATTGTTTTTACCAGTAATTTCCAGATAGGGTAAACACACCATATTCCGACACCTTAAGGACGTAGCAAGAAATAAATAGCTATAAATAGATCACTGTATGCGCAACTCAAGTTCTGATTGGTTTACGTCACTCTCAAAACACCACACTATGTGCCAGCAATGATGAAACGTCACAAACTGTTGCCATATTTATTTAAAAGCCTTTAGAATTCAAATCTACAAAATCATTGAATTACAACACTGTGTGTGACTAAATGCTGCATATTGTAAGACTAATTCTGACAGCGCTTCAAGATCATAATTCGTAAATCTGACACCCTGTGTGAGCTGTATTGGAATACAACACCCTGTGCCACGGCTATGTGTTGTAATTTTGACACGGTGTCGGAATTAGTTTTTAAGTGTCTAAAACCATCTCTCAAATCAATCATCTATTAATTTATTTACCACTTAAAATCAGCAAATACAAGTATACTTAAAGGATTCCTAATATATTCAGACTTATTTATTTAAAAGTCTCAAACCATAAATAATATTCTTTCTACACAAACAGTTTATCATTATTTAGTAAAGCAAGGTCAACTATCAACTTTCATACGTAATTCAATCATCGATGTTCTCAGTTCTCACTAGTTGACTTTGACTTTTGCTCTGCGGATCTTAACATTTCCCCGCTAGACCTAGTGTTTTGCGGAAATCTGGCGCGCAATAGTA